CTGCCTCTATGTGGCCTCACCTCAGAAATCTGCTCTATTAGAAATGTGCAGACTTCCTTTTTGGTAAAAGTCTAGATATAAGTAATTTAGGCTCTCTGACCTACCCGGCATCTGTTGTCACTGCTCAGCTCCGCCATTGAAGCTGCGCACAGGCAGTGGGATAAAGGTACGGAAACAGAGGAGCGTTGCTGTGCTTCAGGAAAACAGGCTTTACAAACAGTTGGGCTGGACTTGGTCCCTGGGCTGTGCTTTGCCAACCCCTCTCCTGGAAAATAAGCTTCATCACAGGAAGCGAAGAATGGGAACACTTCAGGTAAAAGGCTGATGGAGAACATTTACTTTTAGAGCTAAGTCTAAAACAAGGGCGGAGATGTCAGTAGACAGTTAGTATGCAAATGTTATTTGTTTTGTCCAAGTAGAAAGAATGCAATTGAAAATGGAAGGAGAAAAAGGGAAGCCAGTTAACTCTTGGTATTCAGTAAGGTTCTATTGGATCCAAGGATCCAATTTTAGTTTTTCTGTTTTTTGTTTGTTTGTTTTTGAGCAGGCCTAACTATCTGTGAAGGCGTTTGTTTTATACTAGAGGGTGTGTGAAATTTGTGCAGGGGGGTGTCTCTTAGCCCTGCCTGCACCCTCTCACAATCTCGGACCTCTTGGGGGATATCCAAGGAATCCCTACTGGGTCAGGCCTAAACTGGCAGTCAGACACCCTTCTCGCAAACTGGGACAAACATCACTTATAGCAGGCTTGGCAAACTTTTTCTATAACGGTTCAGATAGCAAGTGTTTTAGTTTTATTTCAGTCATTTTCTCTCTATTTCTTCTACTCAATTCTGCCATTGAAATTTGAAATCAAGCCACAGATTATATATATGTGAATGAATTTGCCTTTGTGTCAATAAATCTTTATTTGAAGAAATGAGCAGCAGGCCATTATTTGGCCCTTGGACATAGGTGGCCAACGCCTGGCTTATGGTATTCTGAGTGGGAATACATACCCAAATCTAATCATCAAGCAGTATCATACAAACTTCAAATGAGGAATCTCTTATTTTAAAAGGGGAAGAATTTTATTCTTAAGAAATGTCAGTGTCACTCGCTGAGCCACACTGGCTGGGCTGAAATTATTTTCAAATAAAGTGCTAAACATAGATTAGAGGAAGTCGATAAATGTTTTTTTGTATTTGGTTGTATAGGACATGTATTGGAACTGAAATTGTAAGAATTCTTGTGAACTCATTCAGGTGGTAAAAGAAACATCACTTTGTCCTTTCTGCTATTCTTTGAATTATGGCTTTTAGGGAATCTATAAATCTCAGAGGAGAATTATTGGATGGTTTTACTAACTTAGACCATAAAGCTCTTCTGGGTTAGTCCTGAGGGAAATTTACTTCACTTTAAGTTAGCGATACCTCATAAACTTTCTAAGAACTTCAATGTGAGTCTCAAGGTTAGTATAATATTAATGTTTTGCTTTAGTGTTTTCATGCTTTCAGATTTTGGGAAGAGTAGTTGGGAAGCCATCATTAATGTCATTTTATGTTAACTCTTTCTTTCGATTTGAAAACCATTAGATACGATTTTTCCAGAAAGTGATTTTTTTCTTGTGTGATTCTCTTCAGTTCTTAACATTACATATTTTTCAAAATTCTCTGGTGAATTTCAATGGAGTATGGAATTTTGCTTTTCAGCAAATTGGTGTGTGAAAGTGTTGATCTATAGAATAGGCGTACTAGGTGGTGAGAATTAGGCATTTTTAATGGAAGAAATCTCCCCATTAAAAATAATTCTGTCATCGGAATCATAAAACATGGGCTTTCACTGTGCTCAAAGTAGACCTGGCATTTATTGTTGCATTTCATTTTCATTTGTGAAGAACTTTACAGGACTTATTAGGTAAAGTAAAACAATTTTAATGCAGTAAGTAAAATGTTTCAATAAATTGCCATGTCTTTGTGACAAAGGCTGCCACTAAGATTGTATGCATTTAAAAAATTTTTTTCTCAATGTCTCAGAAATTATCACAAAAGACTTTAGTTTTGATGAATAAAATCTATACTAATAATAGAGAAATATGCAAATTGGCTGGCACACTGTCACTTAATGACCAATCAGGACAGGGGCGGGGCCACAGAGGAGAGCTCTCAGCATGCCTGTGCCGGGGGTCTGAAGGGCATGGGGAGGAAGTGAGAGCAATAGGCATTTAGGGGACCAGGCCAGGCGGGGAGAGCAGATGAGCAGTTAGAGAGGGTCAGGCCAGGAGGGGAGAGCAGTTCAGGCCATTAGGCCAGCTGGAGAGCAGTTAGGGGCATCAGGCAGGCAGGCAGGCAGGTGAGCAGTTAGGAGCCAGTGGTTCCAGATTGCAAAAGGGATTTAAGGGTGCAGGCCAGGCTGGGGGACCCCTCCCCCCATTCATGAATTTTGTGCACTGTGCCTCTAGTTATTAAATAATGTGCTTTTAAAACTGTTTATAAGCGACATAAATATACACTGAGTGACCAGATTATTATGATCTCTGAACGCATAATAATCTGTCCACTCTGTGTGTCTGTGTGTGTGTGTGTGTGTGTGTGTGTGTGTGTATTAGAGGCCCTATGCACGAATTCATGCATGGGTGGGCCTGGCCAGCCTGGCCAGGGGGAGGGGACATGGGCGATTGGCTGGCCTGCCTGCTGGTCGAACTTCTGGTGGAGGGGACAATTTGCATATTAGCTTTTTATTATATAGGATATACACTGATTGGCCAGATTATTATTATGCATTCAGAGATCATAACAATCTGGCCACTCAGTATATATATTTGAAAATGTGCATGAGTTAAGTTAAAAAATTTTAGTAAGTGTGCATTTAGGATGCAGAAAATTCTGGTCTTTTGGTCTCTGCTTTACTTCCCTACAGTGGTAGAGATGTCAGTCCCTAACAGGCAGCCATTGTGTTGTCTTTTGTATTTAAATGTAAGAATTTATATTAAGAAGGAATATGCAGTTATAATTTTTTCATGACCACGTAGAACCCACAAATGAAATTTAGTCATTCTTCCACATACTGGCCCTGCAAATATTTTGAAATATGTTATTTTTCATTTATTTCTTATTCTTTAGATGGGCATATCTAGTTCTTCTAGTATTCACATTATAAGGTTTCATTAATATGTTATTAACAATATTAATATAGTAGCACAGACACTGGTGATATAAAGGATATTTTCCAATTTTCCAAATAATAATAATAATAATAGCAAAGCTCTTATTTACTGAAGCCTTACTCCATGCCAGGTGGTATTATAAACACTTTATATATACTAACTCTTCAAAGTGAACATACAAAATATATGCTTTTAATCCCATTTTACAGATAAAGGAACTGAGGGCCGATGTCTGGCACAGCTGGCCATCAATGAAGCAGCTAGTCAAAGGATTATATAAAATAAACATTATCATCTTTTCCACCTCTGTGGACAGACTGCACTTTGTAATGACCCATTCAGACTTCACAGAGCTTCACAGAGCATGGTGTGGCACCTCATGTGACACCATTACTAGCCCTTGTTCTAAAGTTGTATTTTATTAATGTTTCTAATGCAACCTAAATTTATATTTTATACGAATAATATTCTGTGGACTTGTAGCTAGTCTAAAGGCAACAGAGCTTCTTCCTTGAACTTTAGTTGCTGCTTTTTATGTAAGTGGTTGCTGTGAAGTGAGGTCACTCTGCCCTGCACTTGTCAACTTACTGTTGTAACATCAATGAGGGGTTGATAAAAACAACAACAATAGTTTCAGCCCATCATTTGTTTTGGGTCATAATTCTGGTATCTAAGCATTTAGTTAGCTCTTTATTTTGTTGGGCAAATGATCATGTGTTAAGTACAAGTTCTATGCCATCAGAAGTGCTGCGCTGGTATTTAAGAGTCACCCTTTGGTGTTAGACCTGTGTTCATAGCTATTACACTTCTAACGTTTTTCAATGTTTCAGAAATAGTTGAGTGAAATACTGTTATTTCATGATGAACTATTCATTCCTAGTAAGGTGAATATAGATTTTTAAATAAACTTTGAATTTTGACACAATTTATAAATACTACTAAGTCTGTACCTAAGTCTGATGTTTTATTATTTGTTTTATTTCCTGTGTGTGTGTGTGTGTGTGTGTGTGTGTGTGTCTATGTGCCTCTGTTTCTCTTTCCTTCTTAAACAACTTAGAATTTCATCTTGGTATACTTGTACTATTCTTGAGTGTATTTCTTTGTATAGCTTTCTTAGAGATTGCTCTGGATATGAAAATACACACAATCATAATCACCGCATATCAACATTTTAAACCATCAAGGGAAGCATGGCACCCTTACTTTCATTTAGATCCCCTCATCTTCCCCACTTTTTAATACCATTGGCTTGAATATCAGATGATGCTATGGTTTTGTTTTCTTCATCAGGTATGATTTAGAAATCTCACAGAGGGCAAGGGTAGTGTGTGCTCATATTTCTGCTTTATTTATTGACCTTTTCTGATGTTCCAAGGATTTCTTCTTTTATTACTTAATGCCTGTTTGAAGTGATAAAAGACAGCACAGAATTTGTTAAGGGCAGAGATCACATCCTTTTTTATATTCGTAATATCAGTAACTCAGAGCCTTTATATAGCAGGTGCTCATAAACTATTTATTACAGCTTCCTCCCCCCCCCCCCCAGAGTTATTTACAAGTACAGAAATGTATGTCAGAATAGACTTTTCCTTTTCCTCTTGCACACACACATTTGGCATTTTCAGTATTTCAGAGTTTGATCTACAGAAAGGCCAGTCTTTTTCATCTTGAACCCTAGCACCTAACATGGTAACTAGCTCAGATTTAATAATTGCTTCTTGATTAAATGAATATTAAGTATACTGTACCTTACTTATATAAAAAGGTGGCATTATAATTAACCAGGTGGTTTGATGATATATTAGTTATATTTATAAATACTAAAAATTTATGATTTACCTTCTTTCTCTTACAGCATCCAACACTTGGCTTGTTTCAGAAACTAAAGGCGCTATTGTTCAAGGTGGTTATGGTCATACCAGTGTGTATGATGAAATAACGAAGTCCATTTATGTTCATGGAGGTTATAAAGCATTACCAGGCAACAAGTATGGATTGGTGGATGATCTTTATAAGTATGAAGTGAACACTAAGACTTGGTGAGTAGACGAGGCCAGAAGTATGTTGGGAAAATGTGTCACTGTTATAGTTTATATTTGTATAATAGTGGTGCTTATTAAATGTGTTCAGAGAGACATTCTTGGCCTTCTCCCATCTTCTATTGCAACTAATGATACTCAGTTATGCAGTAGAGGCGCAAAATAGTAGATATTCTATGTGGCCGTCATTACTGTAAAGGATGGACTTTACAGTGGGTTCTGATCCTGTAAGCATTGCTTATCGGTGCTGTTGTTACAATGTAATTCAGACAGGAAGTTTTGCTTACCAAACTTTTAGGTAAGTTAGTATCTGTCTTGGGATTTGTTCTACTTTGCATTCATACTTTATTATCACTTGTAAATTTTAAAACCATGTCTTCAGTTTTATTATCTCATTTCCTATGAAATACAAAGCTTGTGACATTTAGCTAGATTTTCCTTTGTTTGTCGTTATAAAAATGCTGCAGTGTTCATCTTATACTGACTGGTCTGCTCAGGCACAAATGCAAGAGTTTCTTTCTCTAGGGTATGTACTTAATAATGAAATGGTGAATCTGAGGATATTCATATCCTCAAATTTACTGCCTGTTGCCTAATTGCTCCTCAAATGACTCTGGTGATGTGCATTTCCACCAGCAAGGCCTAAGTGTCCCTGTTTCTCCTTATTCTCACTAATAATACTTAGTAAAGGTGAGGATATTTCCTTTTTGCCAGAGTAATGTGTGTGAATGATACTGATACTTAAATACACATATCCCGATTACTGCTGTGAGTAAGCATCTTTTTGTGTTCATTTACCACTTGTGTTTCCTGTGTAGTAAATTTCCTATTCCTAACCATAATGCTCTTTTTGTATTTGAAATATTATTATTGATTGATTAACCAGGAAAGTGATTTCTTTTCTTTTTTTTTTTTTTTTTTTTTTTTTTTTTTTTTTTTTTTTTTTTTTTTTTTTTTTTTAAGATACTACACATTCTTTTAAACTTTTAGCACACATTCCGGAATGTGAAATGAAATACAGATTTTTACCAAATTGTGATTTGTTATTCCCCCTTCTGTTTCAAACATATATTCTATTTTTATTTTTATTTGAAGAAAGATGGAATTTAAAAAAATTAAGACTTTTTTAGGTGATCTTGCTCATTTTCATTATTTTTAGTCTAATAAAATTAAGTATTGTTCTTTATATTTTTATAACTATTAACATTAATAAAATATCTTTTTGTTTTAGATAATCTATACATTGCATTTTATTTCCTATTTTAATATTGCTAATATTTCTTATTAACTTTTTGCTATGATAAAAAGAGGAGTTGTGTAGCAACTAAGGCACCATCAACTTGCTTAATATTAATATATTTTTGCATATATAATATGTCAGATACTGAGTCATATCAAAAAGGAAAAGATAACTATTGCAAGATAGAGGCCATATAGTTCATGTTAATAATAATGGGCACAGTAGTGCTCAGGGAAAGAACTTATTCAAGTGAATGGATAAAAGAAGTACGAGTGTTATTTGAATGAAATCAAAATGAGAGAGTTAGTTGTTGTTTACGATGTAATGAAATTTGATCAGATCTTACATGATTATCTACTTGAAAATTTTCCATAGTGAAATGTTGCATAGAAGAATATAATGATCAGTCTTGGCAATTTTAGCATATGCACAAGTAGCACTGTATACTTGTCCCTTAGGAGAATTTAATAAAATAATTTGTAAATTATTTTGAGCACTTCATTACAAATATGTTATAGATACATATGAAGTTTTACTATTTTCTTGGGTTCTGCGTTTAAAAAAAGATTTGTAAAATTATCAGTGAGAACTAAAATTGTATTTTTCTTATAGTTTTTCTGCTTTTTGTTTGCTAATTTTTCAATTTTGCTATTATGTGTAAATTATAGTGTGTATCATTTGTCAAATATTATGTAACTTTAAAGTGTTATTATTATGTGTCCATTGTACATACTAATTTTATATTTTTGCCAGATCAAAAGTGGGTTTATTGTTTAGTAGGTATAGTTTGGTAAATATACCACGTTGTTGAAATAATAGAAAATGTGTGTTTGGAGAAATTAAGTTTTATGGGTTATTTGAACTATTATTTCCACTGGACTATTATATATAGGAATTACATAATTTGAAGGCATCAGTTAACTATTAAGGAACTGAGAATTTGTGGATCAAGATCTAGGAGAGATAGAATGTTCAGGGAGGAAAGACTGGCATTTTGTCCAACTTTTGTCCTTGAGACAATTACAAATCCAGAAAAAATGTCTGAGAAACTGATCAGGGCTCTTATCAATCAATATGAAGACCAAAATTGGATCTTCAGATGTGCTAAGGAAGAGGGGTCTGGCTACATGCTCAAGGATTTAGTCTGGTCCCTGAAGTTCTAAACCTACTAGTAGGATAAGCTAACCTTGAATCATCACCGTCTTTTATTGGGTTATGGTGATCTGTGCATAGCCTAACTAGTTGGCAGAGCAAAGGTCAATTCTTGCTTGAGGAAGATTTTAATACACAGAGCCTCAAATCATTTCTTCAGTATATCATGTGCAATATCTGGTTTAAAATTTAAAAAAGGCTTAGGAAAAAAATAAAAATTGGAAAAAATAGCTATTATAAACATACCTGAAGGACAACAGTGTTTTCTGAAACTTTAAAATGATTAGAACTTATTTTCAAGGAACTAAAATATAAGGTAAACAACTGGAAACCTTAACTAAAAGAATCAAATGGAAATTATAGAAATGGAAAATACATTAAATGAATTAAGAATTCTTTGGACGGGTTTAACAGCAAGTTAGACACAGCCGAGAAGAGAATTAATGAAATGGAAGATAGGTCAAGGAAAACCCATACTGACATACAGAAAGAAAAAAAAAAATTAAAGAAGGAAACCATTATAAGTGATACATGGAAATGGTCTAACATGCATGTAACTGGAGTCTAGAAGAAGAGTGAGAAAATAATATACAACAGCGTTTAAAGTGTTAATACTGATACTTTTCAAAAGTGATAAGACATCACGTCACAAATTGAAGTTCTATGAGCACCAAGTAGGACAAGTATTGTACAAAGAAGCTTACGCTAGAAATGCCACAGTAAAACTGATGATATCCCAAATAGGAAGAGAAAAATTTTAAAGCGGCCAAAATAATTAAAGGCATATTTCCTATAACGGACCAACACTTGAAAAAATGAAATCTAGAAGACATGGTGTAGTTAGGTAGCTAAAAAAAGCCATTAGCCTAAAATCCTGCACCAATGAAATATTATTAAAAACGATTTTTTCTAGCTTTAAATTGGATGCAATGGGAGGTTATTATTATTATTTACATTTAATTTTTCACAGTTATTTTATTACTTTATTGCGAGTTTTAGTGATTTCTCTAAAAACATAGCTGTAAGGTTTGAAAAGTGAAACAGAAAAATTTTATAAATTTTATTAGTTAAATTTTAGTAAATATTGATGAACATACTATTCATGATGTTCATCCTTGCTTATTTCTGTGCATAATGAGTGTCTGAAATCTTTTTAACAAAAATCATTAACTCTGTACCAAACACTGTATTAGAAATGATTCTAAGACTTCCTCAGTAAAGGAGACAGATAACTTAAAATTTTATCCTACATGTATATGTGGGAAATAATAGAAAAACACACACTAAAGGAATAGTATAGCAGGGGATATTTATTAAAATGAGCGTAAAATAATTATAAAGGTGAAAATTATTATTGCCTTTATAACCAGCAAGGTATGTTGTGAGATTTGGAATGCCTAGTTAAAATCACATATTGATCACTTAAAGAAATATTTATTTCTATAGCTTTACCTTTTAAGGTAATTTTGAGCCATGTAGTACTTATTTTTTTCATAGTGGTCTTTTGTAAACTTGGAAATATTGCATACGGACACCAGGCTGTATGAAAGCATACATGTATAGTTTCAGGATAAAAATGAAGTAAACACCCTACCTACCCGAGCCAAGAAAGAGGCCATTCCAACTCCCAGGAAGCCCTCATGTGCCTCCATGTTGGCTCTCCCTTCATTATCCCCCAAAGAGGTAACCATATTCCTATTGTATTAATTGTTTCATTGCTCTTCTTGATAGGTTATTTACCCTTCTGTATGTGTTTGCAAACACATCCTTAGCTTGTCAGTTCTGGAGTTTTGCACGTATTGTTTAACATTGCATGCTTTTCTTAGGGAGCTGTTTCAACATCAACTTTATGTTTTGGAAAACATATTTTAATAAGGAGAGGCTGACAAAATGGAAATAAGTAAAATCTATCTTAAATGATAAATACTGTGGAGAAAGAAGAAAGCATGGAAAGAGGATGGGGGTTTTCGGTTGTTCCATTTAAACAGGGTGATAGGAGAAGACATCACTGAGAACACATATGGGTAAAGACATGAAGGATCTGAGAGGATGGAGCCACGCCAGCATCTGGGGGCCAGGAGTTCTGGGCAGAGAGGGAAAAGTCTCGGTTGGAATGGGACTGTGCTTATCCTTTGAAATAGCCCAGGGCCAGTGTTGCTGGGTTAAAGCGCCTTAGAGTGGGTTGGGTGATGTGGGAGAAAATGACCTCACAGTGGGAATGGGGAAGCCTGTCATCCCGAGTCACAGGGGTCATTGTAGAGATTGTGGCTTTTACTCTGATACGGGAAGCCAGGGGAGGGTTTTGAGTAGAGATGCGGAATGCTCTGACTTGGGTCTTTACAGGATCCCTTTGGCTGCTGCGTTGTGATTATGATCCAAGAGCAGATGCAAGAGGACCAGTTAGGAGACTGTTGTAATACTTGAAGAAACAGATGATAGTGTCTGCGGCCAGGGAGGCAATGTGCAGGTGATGAGAACTGGTTGGATTCTCAATATATTTTCAAGGCAGAGTCAACAGATCGCATAGACTAAGGGTTTGGGAATCGAGCGGAAGAAGGAGCGGAGAGAGAGTGGAGTCAGGCCTTGGACGACCTGGAACCATGGCGTCGGCATGCATGGACAGGATGAATTTGGTTGCAGGAGCCGGTTTGGTGTGAAGGAAGATTTAGAAGCTTGGGTTTAGGTTTATTTAATTTGAGCTACATATCACACATATCCTAGTGGATATGCAACTAGGTGGCTGGACATAGGAGTTTGGGCATCTGGATACTATACTTCTGCTTGGAGAGATGAGGATGAACAATCCTAAAAAGAGACTAAGAATAAGCAGTTAATGAGTCTGAAACCAGGAGAGCGTGGTGTCCAAGGAGCCAGGAGTGGGTTTCAGAGGAGAGAGAGAGAGAGAGAGAGAGAGAGAGAGAGAGAGAGAGAGAGAGAGAGAGAGAGAGAGAGAGAGAGAGAGAGAGAAAGAGAAAGAGAACACTCTTGTCAGGAGCTGCTGATAGGCAGTGACGTGAGGGTTAAGAAAACCTCCCAGAATCTGGCAGACTGGTGTTTTGCTGCCCTCGATGGGAGAAGTTCCCATGGAGTAGTGGAGTGACATTCTGATCCTGGTGAGTCTACTCAGGATGGGAGAAGAGGAATTGGAGAAAAGTATTGACAACTTTTCTGAGGAGCTTAGAAGGGAAGGAGAGAAATAGGGTAAAGAGGGACAGGTAGGTGAAGACAAGAGAGTTTTTTTTTTTAATATTGGAGAAATAATTGTTCGTTGGCTGGTAGGAAAGATCAAGACAATGTTAAAAACATTGATGCAAGTGAGGGAAAACTTGCTAGCAGGATGAACTTGTGAAAACAAGTAGCAGTGGGACCCAGTGGACACGGGCGGGCCTCTAGGAGCCTAGACAGCTTATCACAGGCTGGGAGGGCCGGTAGGCTATATGAATGCAGTTGCAGATAAGCAGGTAAGAGGGTAGATGGGTGAGAGTTTGTGCAAGTTTTGATTTTTTTGATTTTTTGATTTTTTTATTCTTAGTGAAACAGGAAGTGGGAGTATCAGTTGAGAGCGAGAAGGGGTGATATTTATTAGAAGACTGAGGCTGGATGGGAGAAGACAAAGCACAGAATGGCCATTTAGGAAGGAGGAAGGGTGAATGGGTCCGGGAAGTATGATAGGGTTGATGGTAGAATTGTCCTGGGTGAGATACTCTTACTGGGGGGACATAGCACCTTTAAAAATTCTCTGTTCCCCTGTGGGTGGATATTAGGGCTGTGTCGAATTTTTGCTATTGTAAATAATTACAGTGTGCATGTTCTTATTTAGTCTTGTTTCATATACAAGTTATTGGATATTTTTGCGGCTTATTTTATCAGTTGTTTCTGTTGATTTGAGTTACTATGTGGGATCATCTCCCTACTTTTCAGAGCTTTGCTCCCATCCCTCCCATTGTGCTCTAACTGTCAAAAACAGGGTGGACAGAAGTAGGTCTACAGTTGTCTGTATGGAAAAAGACATACAGGTTATGGTGATGACGATAGCTGTATTCACTCACAAGAACATCACAACTCTAAGCTTACCTTTGCCCACTCCTGGCATATTACATTTCTATGTTAATAAGCCCAGCAGACCAGCTCTGTATGTATACTGGTTTATCCCAGTTGCTTTTCACATTTCTCAGGAACAGAAATGTGCACCCTCCTTTGTTTTCTAATTGCTTCATTGCCTTTGCCAGCACTCTGCTCTGGAATAATCGGTTGAAGACTGAAGAGCTTCTTTTAGTGTCCTGTCGGCAGACATTGTCTCTGAGATTGTAAATGTATTTGTACCATCACTCTGATATTTATAACAGCTGTCTTGAAGTCTTTTTGCTCTTCCAACATCTGGGCCCTCTCAGAGGCATTTCTGTTCTCTCTTGTCCTTCCTCCACCGGGTTCCTCTTTGCTGCATGTGATAGATCACCCTGAGAACTACACATTTTATTTTTTATTTTTATTATTATTATTTTTAAAGAGTATACTATTTTTTAAAATATATTTTATTGATTTTTTTACAGAGAGGAAGGGGGAGAGAGAGAGTTAGAAATGTCGATGAGAGAGAAACATCGACCAGCTGCCTCTTGCACACCCCCTACTGGGGATGTGCCTGCAACCAACGTACATGCCCTTGACCGGAATCGAACCTGGGACCTTTCGCTCCGCAGACCTACGCTCTACCGCTGAGCCACACCGGTTTCGGCTAACTACACATTTTAGATAACACAGCGTCACAACTCTAGATCCTGATCCCTTAACTCCCCCACTCCCTGGGGCTGCTGTAATTTTATTTGTTTGGTGACCTGGCTGGACTCTTTCAGCAAAGTGTCTCTCCTCCAATTGCGTCATCCCATGATGTTGCTCCTGGGGGTGAGGTTGGGGGAGGGGATGCGCACAGTCTCCCTGGAATGGCCATAACTTTAGTGGGGCTCCTTGACTTTCCTCCTGACTTCTCTGTGAAGCTCTCCGTCTCTGTGTCACATCAACCGGACAGCCCCCACTGATTCCTGACTGATTGCTCTCTGAGTGTCAGCAATGCTTTGGGGCATACATTGCTCCGCAGTCCATTGGATTTCAATGTCAGTCCCTGTTGGGCCCTTATTAGCTGTCCTCATCGCCCTCTCCTCACCCCCCTCCTTCAGGTAAACGTTTACTGGTCTCTGAGCTATTGTTCTCATGGGGCTACCAGCTATCTCTTTGATTGCTACCCAGGAAACACTCTCTTGTTTTTCCAAGTTCCCTTACCTTTCCCGCTCTCTGTTCCATACACAGTCAGTTCTCTTGGAAGAGCCGTGCCAGCTTTTGGAATTGTCAGTGGGATTAGTAGCCCGTCCCTCTCCATGTGACACCACTGCTCTTTGTAAGGGGCCCTGGGGCGGGTGGCAGCCTCTGTTAGGGGGTGAGCACTCAGACCTCCCATGCTTTCTCCTTGAGTAGAATGCCACCCCGAGCTGGGGACATCAGAAGCATTGCCCCTCCCCTCTCCTGGTGAGACCCTGTGGCCTGGTAGGAGCTGCGGGTGGAGGGGCTCTCTGTCTTGGCCGCACATGCCTGCTTGGGGTGAACTGTGTTGCTGAATTGGGTCTGTGCTGGGGGGGTGCTGGGTAGGGGAAGATAGGAGCAGGTAATGGGTTAGAAAAATGGTCTGTTGTTCTTATTACAATTTAGTAGATATTCTTGAGTAAATATTTACGGTTGCTCTTAGTAAAAATTTTTTGGACCCTTAATAGTTGTTTTTATCTTTTTGATGAATTATAGTTCTTTCCTTGGGGAGAATATTTATTGAACTCCTCATATTGCCATTCTGGAAGACTGCTCCATAGTCTTTAACCATTAATTGGTATTATATCCCATGGTTTTTGAGATACTGTATGTACCTTGCTAACTATATTATATGTACTGTTTACATTCTGATTCTTTGCACCAGGGATTTATTTAGGGCATTTATGAAGCATTGATTCATATCCTCATGCACCTTTATTATATATCAGTTCATTCAGGTGAAATATGATGGTGAGAATATATTGGTAGCATTTTTTTCTCAGTTGTACTTTAATTAAATAAAATAACATTTATATTATTTTTTAAGGTTTCTCAAAAATCATTGTGATTTTCAGTTATACACGACATATGAATGTAGCTCAAAAACAATTTTGAGCAACATAATATACATATGAATACAAATATATAATTCCATTTTGTAAAGTACAAAGACAGCAATGCAAATCTTTGCTACATCAGAATAGTGAATATATATATATATATATATATATATATATATATATATATATATACACACACGCATATATATTTAAATCTGAGTGCTGGTTACTTAATTATGTTCATCCTATGAGAATTCATTGAACTTTAGACTTACGATAAACCTACTTTTCTGTGTTATATTATACTTAAAAAGTTAAAGGTGTATTATGGGATCCATATCAGTTATGTAGTTTTAATATAGTTTAAAGTTATTATATTTAACTTATTTGGTATTTAAAACTGATGATCTTGGTCCTCTAGTTTTAAGAATACGTGCTTCTACTTTTATAAGTGAAAACAAAATTAAAAATATAAATTATTATAAAATCATTAGCAATTATTTTTAATATTGTGCTTTGTCAAAGCATCTTAAGGTACTGTGAATCTGGAAATATCTTTCTAAAAATATGAAATTTAGAGACCATTTATATTTTTTAAAATACTTGAAGTTTAGAGGACATATATATTAAAAATTGAGCATGTTATTTCACACTTCCAAGGAAGATTCTATATGCAAATTAGATCCTTTATATAATACTTATATAAAATTAGGGAGGTCTTTTTATCTTTTGTAATACATTTTTAAATTTTATCCTGTAGGACTATTTTGAAAGAAAGTGGGTTTGCCAGATACCTTCATTCAGCTGTTCTTATCAATGGAGCTATGCTTATTTTTGGAGGAAATACCCATAATGACACTTCCTTGAGTAACGGTGCAAAATGTTTTTCTGCCGATTTCCTGGCATATGACATAGGTATGTATCTGTTAGGATTGTACAAAGTAGGAAATATCAGAAAATTTTCATGTAGAGATTCTCAAATACATTACTTGATAGCATGTGTATATGTCGTTTTAGAGAGATAAATTCAGTGACAGATCATGAGTGGAATTCTCTCTAAATCCAGCATAGTAGGAGTATAAGGCCAGGAGAATAGTTGGATGGGGGTGAATCAGTGGTGGCGACAGGGGAATTGAGAAGTCTGGGTTTGAATGTCTTTGTTGAAGGCTTTTCTGTATCATATTACTACATGAGCACTATATCAGTCTATTTTGTTTGACTGTTACCATTAGTTTTGATAAAGGGTAGATATAGAGCACTATCAAATTAAGTTATAAATGGTAGTAATGCAAGCATTTTAGATATAGTGGGGATAAGTAAAGATGCATTTAAACTAAACACAAGATACATGTACTTGATATAGAAGGCTGATAGAATTAGAGAAAGGAATATAGAGATAGTGGAGCTAAAGAAATATGATTTAGAAACAGAATGGAAACAGAACTAGGAATGGAAGTAATGGAATAATCTTTTGCAGGGAACCAGAAATACAGTGCATTAATACAGTTGATTTAATTTTCATTATTTTATCTCTAGTTCTACCAATTCCTGAATATTAAATGAATATATTTTTGAAAGACTAAATTAAGCTATGCAGTAGACTATTGTAGTAAAAACATATATTCTTTGTATATCATATTTTAGATATACAAAGCTGATATTTAAAATAAAGTTGGTAATACTTTAGAGCATTTTTCATCGATGGTGTAAAGTAATATACCAATTTTAAGCTGTTAAAAATCATTTTGACAAGTAAAAATAAAAGAAACCAAAGAATAACACATTGAATAGATGTAAGAAGTATACTTTTGCTTTTAAACACCAAAAAGGCACATAATCTACTTTGGAAAATTGTTTTAAGTGGTAGCATATAAAAGAAATTAAAACTCTTAAAAAACACTGATTTTAAACTATTTTAAGTTTATTTGGAAGAAAGTAATTCGTAGTAATAAAGTTAAGTATGCATTTCAACTCTAAGCTATGAGTGTCATTATATAAAGAATGTGAGTAATCATTATATAAAGAATGTGGCTTCAGGATTTTTAGATCCTAAATAATTAAATATTTACTTTTTTGAAATAATAATTTGAAGTGACGATTCATGATGGAAACGGGATTGCCTCAGCTTTTAGAAGGCTTATCCATCAGCCTGGAACCCATAAAAATAGAACAGATGAAGTATCGAGGGAGGCTGGCTTGCGAGCTTTCCCTGCTGGCCAGGACTGCCCACATATTGCTTTGCCTGTGGTGATAAGCTTAGTTCTCTGGGGGCTGATGCAAGTTTTGTTTGCTTTTCTTATAAGAAAAACAAACTAACAAACAACCATAGGAAAAGTGTAGACTTTTTTGTTATTGTTAAAAATCTGTCAAGTGAGACTTTGAACTTTTAAATTTTGCAGAAGATTCTAGAAGCTCCCACTCACTTTCTGTGCTTTAATGAAAAAACTATTGAGCTCTTTTTGTAGCTCACAAATTGGGAATTTATTTTAATTTCTTTCATATTGTTCGTGGTTATCGTATTCTAGGCTTTATGTATGAAAAAGGCTTGCTGAGGTGGGAAAACATTGAGGTGTTAGTTTCAGAGAGAGAGAGAGAGAGAGAGATTAGATTACGTTTATTCTAATCACTCTTTACTAAGTGTCTTTTGAGAGCTAGGCACTATGCTAAAGGCTTTATATACTAATATCTGTAACCTTTCTAATAACCTTGTAATGAGGTGTTACATTTATTTCCAGAATATTAAGCTGAAGAGAGTGAAAGGCAATTGCCCAAAGCTCTGTGGGTAGTAAGCAGCGGATCTAGCGTTTGTAACTACTAAAACTTGTGCTGGTCTTCTCACTTGAATGTACTGTGCTCTTCGGTTGGGTCCAAAGTATGTTCTTAATTTTGGTAACAGATTATCAGGCACATTGTGTTTAATGATGTTTCTTAATAATGTGGAAAGATAGAATCAAATATTAGTTTCACTTTCCAAGCAAATGTTCAGATTAAAGAAAGAATAACATATTTTAAATAACATTATAATTTAACATAGGATTTTTTTTAACCTTGTGCTAATCCTAACAATAAAAACATAACACAACATACAATTCAACATAGGATAAATATTTGTATTTGATCTCATTTGATTGTATCTGTTGAGTTCCCAATAAATTCCCCTCCTCCCCCTAAAATCTGTATTTATTATTCTTAGTTTTGTAGCATTGAATGTTGGCATATTTTCCTGGGAAAAGTTTTTCAGATTTCAGGAAATGCCTTCTAAACGAATTTGTTTTCCTTATGCAGTAAATTTTGTGGACATAAAATACAGTCATTATATAATGAACCAATAACATAAATCTGTTTTGAAAAGAGAGAAAAGGCCATCTTGTTAATTTTTCTCTGTGATACAGTGCCTGAGGACTTTTATTTTGGTGCAGTTCCCTAGGACTTCTATGCCATATTTAACTGGAACACTTCAGCAGATTGCCTTGTGTATGTCATGTTTAAACAAACAGGAATATTTGTGCTCAGACTAATTTTTCATTGCTATAAAATGTACTATTTCAACCTTATTGCCACAGTAAATTTTAAACAACGAATAGTGTTAATCTTTGAGGCTATACCCTTGCCCTTATAGTTCTTATTAGATTATGTATGCTAGACGGAGAAGGTCCTGGTGGTTTTCAAACATGCCTGTATCTTGGCATCTCATTTGAAGTTTGTAGGGGAAAAAGCTATGTAATTTGGTTCTCTTAGGTTAGACACTGGGCAGCTGCATTTTAAAAAGCCTCCAGAGTGCAGCTGCAAAGGGCCACGGCTGGCGAACAAGACTGGATGGATTATAACACACACCATGATGTACTGCTCACTCTTCTAGTTTGTGAATCTATCTTGAAGTCAGATTTTTAATCTGAAAACTTTAAAATGTTTGTTATTGTTAGTGGTGTTATTATTGCACTTGGTTGAAGACTTAAATGATCTTCCTGGTAAAGATAACCTTCTGGTACATAATGAGGCTAAAGGTGCGATGGGAAAAATATAACCACTGAGTTGGTCGTTAGACATATTTATAGTTTGAAACCAGTTGGCTGTGGAGAGTCAATATTGTCATAAAAGTTAGTTTGCGAGGGTCAGTGGGTCAAAAGGAATCGGGAAGTTTGTTTTTCACACCCCCTGAGTGTCACTTAGGTGTTTTGATGGAAGATTTTAACAACTTACAAGTGAGAGAGTTTCATGATCTAAAATACTTTAAAATCTAAATGAATTTTGAGACAATGTTTTAAAAGTATAATAAATGATGACCAAGTAGGATTTATTCTAGGGATTTAAGCATGATTCAATATAATTGATTATATTAAGACTTGTTTATTAAAGTCAACAGGAAATAGCATTGAACGTTAAGACCCTGTAAAATAATTTTAATTAATATTGAAAGTCAAACAGTGATGCCCACTTTTCCTAGCAGAGAGTAAAAATTAAATATTTATTGAATGAGTACCGGGAGACAAAACTCAGAGAGAAACTCTGAGAATGCGATAGAGTTTAGAATATTCGGCAAGGCTTTACTACTGGGAAAGAACTCACTGAATTACCATCATTAAAGTGTTTGTGGAAAAATGTTTAGGCAACATCCAGAAATTTGGTTTGTATTGCAAAGGTATTAAAATGGTTAATAGGTTTTCTCTACATCCATCTACTTTTGAGTCTTGTACACACAATTTTGTGTTCCTTTTAGCATATTTCAAGTATGCAACTAAGACTGATTTATGAGCTTGTATTAAAATGTGTCCTTAAAGCATTACAGAAGTATATTTTCATGAAGAACTATGAGTCTTTGTATTTTATCAGTATGCATAAACAGTACAAGTGGAGAAGTTTGCCAATGAATGTGCATTTTCCACTTGTACTGTTTATGCATACTGATAAAATAAACCAGTATCGGAATTCAAGTGCCAGTTCTTAATGGAATTATGTGGCCCCTCAGAGGTCAGTCTGACAGCACAACATTCTGATTTCTGAATTTTGAGTTTGCGAAAATAGTAATTGTAATTTTTTGATCTTTAAGTATTGAGTGTACAGTGTGTTAATTAATATTAGCACATGGTAACACGTGTTTTAAAAACAATCTGTATTCCAGAGTGTATATTACATTTTGTTCTTTACCCCTCCGTGGCTTTTCTGTGGTTGTGGACTGGTATTTCTGTCAGTTTCCATGATGTCAATAACTGTGTGGGTTTTGCTTTAATTTGTCCAGCCTTGAACTCTTTATGAAGTGATAATGACCCAAGTGCTCTTGAAACATATTTTCGCCTTGGAAATAAAGCGAAATTATAGGTTGTAGTCAGATGAATAATGTAAGAGACTTTTGAATGTAAGAATGGGAATAGACTGCATGTAAAAAACTTATATTAACTTAATATCAAGCTTTAAGGCGTTTGATAACTTCCACATCTTACAGGAAAACCAATCTAAGTTTTATAGAGACTCTGGTCAAGAATGTGGAAACTCAGCAGCAGCATTGATCGCGCCATCATTGTGTTTCGTAGTTATTGAAAAGTCTGGAAGAGATAAGTGGAAGTCTGTTCGAAGCAACTGCTCTATCTTTTCCCTCCTCATGTGTTGACAATTTCTGGCAAGAGGACAAATACCAGCAAGCATGAAATACTGTGTCTATAGATGCAAAAACTGCTTCCTTCCACTAGCTTTTATAAGCGTCAAAGTTAACTTCTATTCTTCCCAGACAATTTTCTGAGGGAAAACCGGGTGCCAGCTATTTTAGGAAACGGGAAAGGAAAATGTGCATTGATGGTATTGTGTAGGTCAGAACGGGTTAGGTTATGCTGTGGAGATGAAGCGCCCTGTCACCTTTCAGGTTCTCTCAAAAGCAAACCCTGGGCCACAGTTTGGTGGTCAGGCTAATGAATAGGTCCTGGGGAAGGGGAAGAAGATGCTGGATTGGGCAAAGGGAAAGATTAGGTCCACCTAACAGCCCCAGTGTCCATCAGAATTGTGGCTCACGGGGTGAAACAGGCCTTGATCTGTCATTGTGTGAGGGTCACTCCCAGGGGCATGGGCTGTGGGTTATGAAATTCTCCAGCGCTAAAGCAATGTCTGCAAGTGCTCGTAGCTGGATGATTCTGGTGATAGTGATCCTAGCAAAGGGCAACAGTGCATCCCCTGAAGATGTATTGTGTCAGCACATCTCCATAGTCAACATAATTCATGCTTGGAGCCACTCAGTCCACTCCTTTAAATACATTTGTTGCAAACTCCTGGGAAACACCTATATCCGTGGTCGGCAAACTGTGGCTTGAGAGCCACATGTGGCTCTTTGGCCCCTTGAGTGTGGCTCTTCCACAAAATACCCGGGTGAGTCTATTTTGAAGAAGAGGCGTTAGAAGAAGTTTAAGTTTAAAAAATTTGGCTCTCAAAAGAAATTTCAGTCGTTGTGCTGTTGATATTTGGCTCTGTTGACTAATGAGTTTGCTGACCACTGACCTAACTTCTGCAGCTGGGCTCAGGACTGGCAACTGGTACTCCACATGTCCCCCCCGCCATTATTTGTTCTAGTTACCCCTTACGTCAGCTAGAACTTCTTCTGGCCATGAAAAGATGCAAATCAAACCCACAGTGCACTGCTGGTTGGAAAGCAAAAACGAAATAGCCACTTGAAAGCGTATGGAGGCTCCTTAAGATGTGAAACACCTTATCCACGAATTCCACTAATGTTAAGACAGTTGTCAAAGAGTTTACCACCTTTATTTTTTTGTCGGGGTTTTATAGTTTTGAGTCTTTCATTTCTGTAAATGGTGTGAGAAAGAGGTCCGATTTCATTCTTATGCATGTAGCTGTCCAGTTTTCTCAACACCATTTATTGAAGAGACTGTCTTTTCTCCAATCGTATATTCGTATATTCTTGCCTCTTTTTTAAAAAAAATATATATTTTATTGATTTTGTACAGAGAGGAAGGGAGAGAGATAGAGAGTTAGAAACATCGATGAGAGAGAGTCATCGATCAGCTGCCTCTTGCACACACCCTACTGGGGATATGCCCGCAACCAAGGTACATGCCCTTGACCGGAATCGAACCCGGGACCCTTCAGTCCCCAAGCCGACACTCTATCCATTGAGCCAAACCGGTCTCGGCGATTCTTGCCACTTTTGTTTTAGATTAATTGACCACATAAGCGTGGGTTTATTTTAGGCTTCATTGACTTGTGTGCCTGCTATTGTGCCAGTGCAATGCCATGTCGAATACTGTAGCTTTGTAAAATAATTTGAAATCAGGGAGCTTGATACTTTCAGCTTGCTTCTATGCTTGCAAGATTGCTTTGGCAATGTGGGGTCTTTTGTGGTTCCATACTAAATATTTCATTTTGATGATTCTGTTTTTAGATATTCTTTCCTTGAATATTATATATTTTATTTAAGTTTGTATGTGTGTATGTAAAGTTTGATTTAGTGATTTAACTTTCTATCAGTTTTGCCCAGTATTGACATTCATGTATTATTTTACTATATGACTCTTGATTTATTTGGTAAAAATATGTCATTAAAATTGTTTTCCAATATAAAATATATACACAATTTCTTACCTTTCATTTTATTTATTATCATATATTAATTTATTTTTGGGAATTGTAGGCAGAAGTCATTTTTATTTAAGGAATAATGCTAGTTTAATAACAATGCTAAATTATAGGTCATGAAAAAATTAATGAGAAGCTTCCTAACTTTAGTTATTATATCATTAATTTGACCAGTGATTGTTGTATAGTATTTATCTTAATTTGGTCTTTTATTTCATTTTCCTTTTTTTTAAATTTTATCTCTTTTTATTCTAGCTTGTGATGAATGGAAAATATTACCAAAACCAAATCTTCATAGAGATGTCAACAGATTTGGACACTCTGCAGTTGTCATTAATGGGTAAAAGAATACATTTATCAGTTATTCTATCCCATATTCTGTTATTCTTTTAAAAATATCATTTGTACTTAATGGCTTTGGATTTTATGTATCCCTACTGTACCATGGAGTACCTTTTGGCTCATTAACCATACCCTCCATTCCCTTTTGTTTAAATATATTTAAGGAGTAGGGGAGCTGTCAAAGACAAAACTTCAGAATCTTAGAAAAGTGTCATCTTTCCTTTTTTCCCTTTTCCAGAGATCAGAAAATGGATGACCTCCTTAAAAAAGATCAAACTGAACTGATAGACAGGCTAGTCCCATATTTTCACAGAAGAGAGCAAGGATCTTGAGAAGAATTCATTTTAGTTCTGTCATTATTTAATGCATGATTTTTGACACGTCTCTGAACCTCTCTGGACTTTAATATTCTTAAATCCACTGGGAATTTAGACTGAATGATCATTAAGCTACCTTCTTTCTAGAAGTCAGTATGCTTTTTCTAATTCTGTAGCAAAAATTTGGTAATATGGACACAAGTGACAGTAAAAATATGCTAGCTCATTCATTAGCTTAAATATATAATTCATAATGACATGCTTCTAAGTTCATTTTATTACCATTTTACTTAAATTATCTAAAGATTCCCTAATATGATACTAAAAGCAGGTAGAAGTTAACTGCTGTACAGTGAAACTGCAACTGATATCAGTTGGCTTTCAAAATAGTAATAAATGAAATTCAGAGTGTAAACCTATGACCTCTAGGCTTCTGTGTTGGAAAATTGTCTTGTTGATTTCTATTTTACTTCTCTTAAATAGTAAAAGGTATTTTTGAAGCATTTTAAAAGAATACAGAAGAAATGAAATGAAAATACTGTTTTGAGGGACTGCAAAACTTTCTTGGCATTGGTACTACTAATTCAGTATTGTTTGGGATTTTTTTTCTAAATCAAAATTTTGAAATGTTTTTTGATTATTGATTTTAGGGAGGGAGTGAAGAAGGGAGAGAAAGAGGGAGAAAGAGAGAGAGAGAGAGATCAATTTTTGTTGCTTCACTTATTTATACATTGGTTGTTTGACTCTTGTGTGTGTGCCCTGAACGGGGGTTGAGCCAATAACTATGTTCTATCAGGATGATGCTCTTAACTCACTTGGCTTCCTGCAAGGCCTACTCTTGTTTTTATTTTGAATTTTATAAGGGGATTGTAAAACACTATAATACGATCTCCTTTTCTAATTTCTAAATTTTATGTATTTAAAAATTATAATTTTAGATAGCAATTCTAAAGTACCTTGTTATCTATATACTAGAGGCCCGGTGCATTAAATTAGAGCATGGTGTGTGTGTGTGTGTGTGTGTGTGTGTGTCCCTCAGCCCGGCCTACATCCTCTCATAATCTGGGACCCACAGGGGATCTCAGGCCTAAACCGGCAGTCGGACATCCCCCTCGCAATCCAGGTTGTTGCATGCACCAGTGATCATATTTCTCACACAGGTGAAAGGCATCTTGCTGTTGTGTGGGCAGCTACATTTTTTTGCCCTGATTATAAAAGTAGTACATAACATGGTCATTCTGAGGCAGTAGTACCATTTTCCCCATCTTCAGTGGAAAAACTGAAGTAGAGGGAAGTGAAGTAATTGGTTTTGTCACACAGTTATGTGTCAGATTCAGGGCTGACCACAAAATGTGCAAGCCAGAGTCCATGCATCTCATCGCTGCATCATTCTGCTTTTTTCAGTGTTAGATTAGCCATGCCAGGTTTTAATTTTTAAATCTAAGAGACTGTTCCCAATATACAGGGTAGGCTCTCTAGGCCTAGGTGGTGATCAGGGGGCCACTGATGGCACCCACTTTTGCTGGTGGCCTGGTGCCACTCTCTGGCCAGCCCTGTCCCCCATCTCCACTGCTTCCCTCTGGGAGGTGGGGGAGACATTCAACACAGGAGCTGTCCCCCACTGGGGAGCGTCTACCCCCTGGTGCCATAGTGACTGGTCATTCCGCCAGTCATTTTGCCCTTTGGTCGCTTTGCATATCAGGGTTTTATTATATATCTATTTTTTAAAAAATAGTTTCCTATCTTGATAAAATAATGTTCAATGTATACATAAATTTATTTATAAAACTAGTACATTAAACAGTGAATTTGTTAATATTGCTTCTTTAAGATGCTTGTTTTATTTTATTAGGTCCATGTATATATTTGGAGGATTTTCCAGTGTACTCCTCAATGATATCCTTGTGTACAAGCCTCCAAATTGCAAGGCTTTTAGAAATGAAGAACTTTGTAAAAATGCTGGTCCAGGGATAAAATGTATTTGGAATAAAAATTATTGTGAATCTTGGGAATCTGGGAATACGAATAATATTCTTAGAGCAAAGTGCCCTCCTAAAACAGGTAAATGTTGTGTTTTTCCTTTCCTTTCCCCAGTCTCTGGCATGAGCTTCTCCACTCGCCTAGAAGCAGAAGTGGATGCTGCTTATAAGAAGTACCTTAGTAGCTTTCAGAAGTAAAAAATGTATAATCCTCTGATTAGGAATCTAATGTTTGAACTAGACAGCAGTTAATAATTTAATATCTTTATTAGCTATCTTTAGTTTTCTCTTTAAAATTCTGCATATAATATTATATATCAATATTTTATATATAACATGATCATATATATGAATTATTTTCCTATGTAGATAAAAAATGATTTCAAATAATCCTTTCTAGAAAATACTGTGTGCTTCAAAGGAATAAAATGAAGTAATTTATTATGCATTTGCTATTGTTTTTTCTTCCTGAATTATTGCCATGCCAGATTATGAAGTTAAATTTTTTTCTTTAGTTTTGATGATGAATGTTCCAGTTTAATATTTTGTATAAAATATTGAATAAATAAATCTAACTTATGAAAAATTAGTCGTAAATATTATTTATAAATGAATGACCAAGATAAAAATTGTTCAGTTTTCTTTAAATGGGTGAGTTTTGTACATTTGCAATGCTACTATTAACAAATGTATTTTCAAATTTTGCTAATATCATATTTAACTCAGATGTCTCCAAATATCTTTATGAAGAATGATAAATGGTAGTTGTTGTAGTAATATATTTTGTATCAATAGTAATATATTTTGCTCACTAAATTATCCATGAGTCTTTTCTCCCTCCTCCATAATATATCCATTTTAAATGGCTAGAGGATCCTGGTAGATTCCGTAATTAGGATGAGGGCAGGAGGTATATAAACCCTGTAACAATTAACTACAAAAGTTGACTTCATATTGAACTTTATTGTATATTGATGGTCATATTTACGGTTTAAAAATGCCTTAATGTTTCTTGAACAGATGTTAAAAATGTGTGAGTCGAGTCGTGTGACATTTTCTTTTTTTCATCCTGATGTGTTTCTGTCTCCCGCTTGTATTGTAGCTGCTTCTGAGGACAGGTGTTACCGATACGCAGACTGTGCCAGCTGCACTGCCAACACCAACGGGTGCCAGTGGTGTGATGACAAGAAGTGCATTTCAGCCCACAGCAACTGCAGCGTGGTCAGTACTTACGGGTGACGGTGGTAACGGTGCTGCTTTATCATCGTTCGCTTACCGTCTATTCGCATGTAAAAAAATCACTTTACACATGGAAGCACTTGGAAAGCTCATAGGGAATCGCTCTCAGGATGCTGTCAGTTCACTCTGTAGTTTGGTGCTATCAGTGTAGAGTCCATTTTAAATTCAATAACTTGCTTCTTCTCATGGATGAGACTGGAACATTCTTACAAAGCTGATTAAAAAAGGACTATTAGGTATAAACGCTGTCTTTTGCGATGGAAATAGGATTATGTAAGCAAGTAATTATCTGAAATAATTTCCAGAGGTTCTTGCAGACATGCATTAACAGTGTATGGGACAGTGTTTTGTTGATTCACTTTGGGTGTAAGTTAGCCTGGGGTGTGGACAGTGGCTATTTGCCTTCCGTCTGTTTTGAGGTCAGTGGTTCTCAGCCAGAGGCAGTTTGCACTCCGAGGCCATTGGCAATGTGTGCAGACATGTTGGGTGGTTAGGGGTTCACTGAGGCTGCTACTGGCATCTACTAGGTAGAAGCCAGGGCTGCTGCGACATGTCCTACAGGGCAGGAACAGCATTGTTTTCTGGCTCAAGATGTCAGTAGTGATGGGGCTGAGAAATCCTACTGTACATAGACTATCGGAAAAAAAACCCAAAAAGTAGTATTTATGGCAGATGAAGATTAAGTACAGCAAAAATTTACCTTTTAAGTGGGTAGTAAAAAATACCCCGATTTTAGATATCAGCAAATTGAAAGAAAAACAAAGAATTAAAAAGTGTATTTAATAGGATTGAAGTTTCCCAAATTGGGATGGAGCTTAAATCACTAAATAACGTGCATACAGATTTTCAATAAAATATATACTATTTTTTTCTGAATTTTTATTAATCAACAAAAGTATCAACTTGTTTTTATAGATAGCAGGTAGTGGTAAAAGGTAAAGAAAAGAGAGTTTAAAAACTAAATAAAAACTTCTGTCTCATCTATAATTTTTCTCCAGTACCAATCATATTTTAGAATAAGTTTTATGATTCTATTCTATAATATTATTCAAAACTTAAAATGGAGGAAAATTTTTAGGTATTGACTCTTTGAGTTGAATCCTTTTGCTTTTATACAGGATGGGGTAAAAATTGGTTTACAGTTGTGAGTTTATCATTGTATTATTTATTAATTATTGCATTATTTTATATACAAACAACTTTACACTGACTTTTGTCCCAACCTGCATACATTCATGATGTAAGTTTTTTAAAATAACAATACATCAATTTTATTTAATATAACATGACTCTTTGAAAATTTGAATGACTTTTTTTATACTTGCATTAATATTCATCTACTGAGTTATTTCAGTGAGTCATGTGGAAATACAAGTCAAGCTGAGACCGGTTTGGCTCAATGGATAGAGGCTTGGGGACAGAAAGGTCCCGGGTTCGATTCCGGTCAAGGGCATGTACCTTGGTTGCAGGCATATCCCCAGTAGGGGGTATGCAAGAGGCAGCTGATCGATGACTCTCTCTCATAAATGTTTCTAACTCTCTGTCTCTCTCCCTTCCTCTCTGTACAAAATCAATAAAATACAATATATTAAAAAACAAACAAACAAACAAACAAACACAACTATTGTGTCTCCACACCTCATCTTAAAAAAAAAGAAATACAAGTCAAGAATATGGGACTAAATTGGAGAATGTGTTTAGATTAAAAATTGCAAGCAGATTTTATTTACACCTTTGTTGAATAAACCTGAGTTAATTTATGTTTAGACATGAACACTAAGTGAAAATGCTCGTATCTAAAAAAATTTGTTATATAAATTGCCATCAAGAATATTCATTTTATAAAGTGTTTTTTTGTTTTTGTTTTTTGCTTTATGTTTTATTTTTTATAATAATGCGTTAACAAGGAAAGCAGTGGGTGAGGTAGTGTAAGTGAGCAGATGGTCCTCGCTTGTAATTTAGACTTCGATGTGATGAGCCTTTTAGACAGTTTTATCATAATGTCTGGTGATGAAGTTAAACCAAATGCTAATGAGTACGGAAAGGTCTATGAGATTTTAGTGTAAATGATGCCTATTGGAATTCTACTTCATTATTTAATCATATTTACTGCAAGTTGCATATATTATGTTCTAACAGTTCAGATAGCCTGCTTACTTCTCACATATTTTCACTTTGAATTTACATTATGTTAGAGTGGAGATCAATATAGTAGTGGTTAGTCCTCAGAGTCTGGTTTATAACGTACATACATCTGCTTCATTAGATCCAAAAATGTCAGCCATGTTTCAGAATAACAGGCAACTTCCTTCCATAATGGATTAAATTGGTGCTGTGTGTATCTGAACCGTAGTTTCATCTATTGTATTGGTTCAGTGCCAGTAAATGGCTATATTGTTGTTAATGAAGAGCAGGATAGTTACTTGGATGGTGACTCTAATTATACCATTGATATTCTAAGGGCAGCCTTACTCTGTTATTCTTTCTCTCATTCTATAATGTTCTTTAGCTATTCTCTTGTCATTTTTGTAGGCTATTCTATTTGTCAGATTATTCAGGTAAATTTATTTTGCTTCAATTTTGGGGCAAATGTTCGAACCTATATGATCATATAAATCAACACTAAGATCTATGTATTTATGAAAACAAAAAAAAAGGTATGAATTAGAGTAAATGACAAGAAAGTTAATATGTTTCTAATGAAAATACGATAGTTGAGTAAAAGTCACAAAGTCATTTGAGATTTTAAAAATTGTATCTTTTGTTATATTTTTAGGATGAATAAAGATAAAAATGAGTTTCTATGTACTTATAGTGTATGTAATTTGCTCTGAAGGAATTAACATCTTTGGAATGGAGATGACTGCCATGTGTTTTATGTGGGAAAGTATAGTCGTTTATAAGTAGATATTTGGTGGGGTGATTTTTAAAGTATGTAAGAGGTTGGGAATTGCTTTTATTGTTTTTATATGTGGGATAGTTATAACTAAATTTTAACTGTTCACTTCATGGCTGAAGAAATATTCAGCTTCCTCTATGAGAAAGCCAGAGGCACGCATTTGTACCCCCAGAGAAAAACAAAAGTAGAAATAGGACCAGGATGTAGCAGTAAGTCCTTGCTGAGTTTTTCTCAAAGAAGAGTTGCAGGAAGAATTACACTAAACATGTTAGTGTCTGATTTTCACCGGGTCGATGTTACCATAGATGTTGGTAATATGTTATCATCAATGTTGGTAATATGTGAGCGTCCTGAATCTCGGTGTATGTAGGGAGCTACCAATAAAGTTCTCATGTTGCCTGGTTTGTTTTCTTTTTTAACCTTTAACTTTTTAGTGCTGGAATTAGTTGAAATATGATCACATTCTATATTAGGATTGATCACAACGTAACTTTTGCAGATTGTTTGCATCCTGGATAAAGGCAATGTAACAAATACAGGAGAAACACCAATGAACCAAAACCAGTATTTATGCCCGTGGAAGTCAAATTAGCTTGTTATTGAAAGAATAATTTATCTTTTTAAATTGTACTGAATTCTAATAAAGCATCTCTTAAATTTTACTACTTATCATGTCTACTTCTTTTCCAGGGATTTGCATGATAGTTTTATTATGACTTAGAATTCTTTCATGTGATCATTAAGAGAAATGACTGTGTATTGACCTTATTTATTGAATTGGAAGCCTGTTACCAAATTCAATAGAAAATGTTTTCATTAGATGGTTCCTATTTCAAATTATGTAATTTGCCACATTTTTTTTTTTTCCAATAAGCACTCTTCCAATTCCAAGAACTGTGGTTTAAATAAATAATTAAATACATGGAGATTCTGATGAAGTAGAACAGAAGTCAGGAGTCAGAAACTTGTGCTTTAAAGTTCATCCCATAATTTATTCACACTGAGGCTTAAGAATCATTGCTGTACAAAGGTGAACAATAACGTTTTATCTTTTAACTTTCTAGTCTGTGAAAAACTACACCAAATGCCATGTGAGAAACGAGCAGATTTGCAACAAACTCACCAGCTGTAAAAGCTGTTCACTAAACTTGAATTGCCAGTGGGATCAGAGACAACAGGAATGCCAGGCTCTACCAGGTGAAGTTTCCTGTTTGGTAAATGACTTTTACAGTCCACAGATGCCTAACATTACAGTAAAGAGCTTCGAGTTAGAACATTCCATTTTCTAAAATTAAATCAGTAGCACACAAGCAATTATATTGGAGTAGAAATAGCATTGTTTCTACAAGAATATTTGTACATTTACCTCTAATTCTTTTAAGATGTTTAAGGTTTCTTGTATTATTTTTATACCATTGACTTGATCAGAATTCTCTTTTGAAAATGTATATCTTAGCATACAAATTTGAACAAATGTTGATATTTTGACGTATTTGATTTGATTTTTGCCATTTTTAAAAAATATTCTGGGAACTATTTTTTTTTACTGCTTTTTTATTATAAATTGTAACACTTATAATAAATATGTGATTTGATGGGAATTTAAGTTGTGGGAGCAAAGCTTATTTTAAAAATCAATTTCAATTTATTTTTTACAGTTAACACTCTTCTTAATAGACCCCCAACTATGATTCTTTTTAAATATACAAGAGAAGATCAGAAAATTAAAAATTAATATAGGTATTTAACCAGTTTCATGTTCTTGTTATACAGATGAACTGAGACATGCACACTAGTTCAGTGACTTGCTCAGAGTTGCATGTCTTATGAAGGCAGGAGTAACTACTAACTGTGTTTTCTATATCCGTTCAATATTTTGCCTTTCTCAAGCCATGCTTTTCCATAAAAATTTTCTGAACCTATTCAATTTTAAAACGTATTGGAAAATTCCATCCCAAGATGCATGTCTTTCTTACAAATTCATGTAATTAAGTAAAAATTAGATTGCTTTAAAAGTACCATTGAGAGGTTGGAATGTTTGCTTATTCAAATTTTAAGTGTTGTTTACATACTGTCCTGTAGTGTTTTTAAATAGTGATATATTTAGATGTGTTCACTTAGAGAAAATAGAGAGTAGAAATGCACTGGGCAGGATTTGAGAAGCAGTAGTGAGATGATGCTAAACTTGAAAGTATTATTGATTTCTAAATGTTAAACTCTAAAATCGACATACAGATCAATAAAAATACTTAAAAAGTCTCTTTAAGAAGACCCAGTAAATCCTGGGCCAAAATCCTATTTGACTGAAAGGAATGTGTGTACTTAAAGGCAGATTGCTTCAGTAAGAAGGGGATTTGGTCATCTGGAGATTTTGAAAAACAATAGCAAAGTTATATTCTGTAGTTCCTACCTACTCATTGCCCAGGGAAAGACTTCGGTTTGGTGTAAGGGCTCCACATGACCAGCCTAATATTTTGAAGAACAGTAAGTACAGTACAATAAATATAATGAAGTATTCGATTATACACTAACTCCCTTGTTCCGTGTTCATATTTACTGAGCAATCAAGTGGGTCTAAATACAGTGCGCTTTCTCTCCCCTACTCATCTCAAGGCAGTGAATCCTAAATGGTGGGCCCAGGCTATAGCAGTTGCACTCTTTCATGAAAATTTATGAATTGCATTTTTTACATTGATCTCATGTAACAGTGGCAATTTGAATTTATCTCACTAAACTCATTTACCAAATAAACTGCTATCCCTTAAACTCTAAAGCTGAGTTGATGCTCAATACTGCAAAAGCCTTAATTTAGCCTCAAAAGCCCATGCTTTGTTTTCACTTGTGTAGTTTGTCAGGTATTTTTGGCCTCAGGATAAAAAAGGAGTGGGGGCTGGCAAAAAATATCTAAGTCCTTCCTTGATTCAGTAATGTTAGAAAAAGCCATAATTTAACTTTTAAACTGTTTCCATAAAGTGATTTGGGACTTCAGGAACATTGCCACACATGTAACCTGAAAATGGAACCAAAGGTGTTTTACACAGTCTTACTAAGTGATAATTACAGTTTATTGAGGAGTTACTATGTTCCAGGCACTGTGTCTTATTCATGGAACCCAAATTATTAGATAGCAGTTATTAAAGAACAGAGTCTCCTGTTCATGGACCCTTTTAGCATGTCCACGTGGTCAAAATGATATTAAGATATTATTTGCATTTTAAATTCTCATGCATGCATTTAGTATGGAGTTTTCCAAAGCTATGCAATATATGATTTCAATAGATTGAAGGTAGAAGCAGATATGAGAAAACAGTTATATTAAACCACCATTAAAGTGATTTGCAGAAATGTAAAACAATGCTACACTTTTCACTATTTTGTTTTGGAGACTATAATTAAAAAATTAAATATATTATCTACTTAAAGGTGTAATATTGCTCCTGAACATTTTATAGGGAAAATTTTAACTATATAGAAAAATGGAAGGAGTATTAGAGAGGACACCCAGTACCCACACCCTAGATTCTGAAATGAACATTTTAAAAGCTCTGCTTAATCCCTGATCGCTCTGTCTACTCATCCCTCTCTTTATCAGTACTTCTTAATTTTTTAATGCCAGGGCCCTAATTTGAACTCTCAGCTACTCTTTATCAGGGAGAGAATTTGATAATATACCTTTTTTAGGCCTGAATATATTATAAGGGGCAAAACACCCTAGAAGCTGGATGTATTTGTAATGAATTTTATTTTGTTTGCTTTAAAAAAAAATTTCATTTACAGTTTACTGTCAATGTTATTCTGTTAGTTTCATGTGTACAGACAGCATAATGGCTGGGCAGCCATGTACTGCACAGAGCCCTCCCCCTGATATTTCAGGTACTCACCTGGCCCCGTACATAACTGTGACGGTGTTCCTGTGCTCTCATTTACATCTCTGTGACTATACTGTTGACTACCAGTTTGTACATCTTGAGCCCTTCACCTTTTCACCTAGTTACCCAAACCCACTACACTCTGTCCAACTATCAGTCTGAATTTTAAATTATAATTTTAAATAAAACAATTAGATCTTGAAGTGATCAGCTTTAATTTTTATATGGTCAAAACCAATACATATAAAACGAGGAAAGAAAAGATCAGCGGAGACCTCCAGAGTGACTGAACCAAAATGTTTGAGAACAGCAGCTTTGGAAAAATCTCTAAAAGGCTGCCCTAATGCATCCAAGGCTGAAAGGGCTGGAGGCACAGAGCTACTTACTGTGATATGGAAACTAAAATGTCGTCAGACTTTATAGATCAGGGTGTTAAGGAAATACCACGTTAATTAGTGCACACGAGTGCATACCTTTGTATTTATGAATCTCTGTTTTATTTTTATTTATTTTTTAATCCTCACCGCAGGATATTTTCCCCTTGATTTTTAGAGAAAGTGGAAGAGAGAGGGAAAGACAGAAATATTGATGTGAGAGAAACACATCGATTGGTTGCCTCCCTCATGATCCGTGACTAGGGCCCAGGCCGGAAGGAACCTCAATCGAGGTACATGCCGCTGACTGGAATCAAAGCTAGGACCCTTGGGTCCACAGGCTGACCCTCTGAGCCAAACCAGCAAGGGCATGAATCTGTGTTTTAGAAAATTGGTGAACTGTTTTAAGTTTAGTTTGAACTCTAAGGATAAACACTATTATTGAATAGTGTGTTTAAACTGTAGAAATACCTGAATAGCTGTGTAAAAAGAAATATTAAAAAGCGGATTATAGCTTCCTAGAGAAATATAATGAAATGAGAATTTTGTCCCCACAATTATAATTAAAGAATTTAAGAACCAAGTCACAGTAATATACCTGTACTGTGGAAATTAGATTGGGAAGACAATTAGCTACAGTTATAGGAATAACTTTCAAATTGCTTTGTTATATGCTGTTTATTTTTTTATTTGAGTGATCTTGTATTTTGTAAATTGGACATTAGGATATAAATATAATAATATAGTAGTAATTTTACTTGTTAGATACCATGTGCCAATATATTAGACTTACAGAGAAAACTTAGCAAATAGTCTATTTTAACAGATGTTATAGAGCCAGACCTTAACTATTGTTTAAAATTGAAGAAAAAACTAGAATCTTCGGTTCCCATTATGTACTAATCTATTAGATTTTGTTCAGTATATTGACATATTTAAATATTTTGTTGATAAGGTAATTTAAATACAGAAATTCTGTTTAGAATTTTGAAATTAATGAAAAAATGAACGTGCTTTTTTGTAATCTAAACTTAAGATGTAATTTTTTTTTCTAGCTCATCTTTGTGGAGAAGGATGGAATCATATTGGAGATGCTTGTCTCAGAATTAATACCAGTAGAGAAAGCTACGATAATGCAAAACTTTATTGCTATAATCTTAGTGGAAACCTTGCTTCATTAACGTCTTCAAAAGAAGTTGAATTTGTTCTGGATGAAATACAAAAATATACACAACAGGTAACAGCTATACTTATTTTTATTATGGAAATATGCTGGTAATACTATAATTATTGGCAATGAATAGCTGTGTAAAATAAATATCAAATAAATCCTTTTTGTAATTTAAGGCATTACTTTTACTAAATCTTAGAAGTAAACATGGTACTGATTTCAAAAGTGAACTGGTAGAGGACTCATTCAGTATGTGTATTTGGTAATAAGATTTTCTATACTACTCATCTCATATTTTGCACAGTAAACCAATGCATTATCTCATGAAAAACTCATGTGACTAAATATACTAAAAAAAACAGGGGATATAATATAATAATTTATTTTGAAGTAGTATTATTTCAAAACTTGAAAAACCCTTCTTAATAAAAACACTAGACCAACACATTAGCTACATTTGTATATATGTATATTTTGTGTATGTGTGTGTGCTTGTGTGTGTGTGTGTGTGCACTGTGAGTTAAGTTTTTGAATTATGCTATTTTTCAAATTAGACTTGCTTGAAATAATAACTAATAACTAATGGTTATAAATAATAAATCATAACTAATGGTTAATAGGACTAAAATCAATATTTTAAATATGTGGAAGATATTGAAAATAGTTTCAATTTTCTAGAGAGTTTATGGAAAATATTTCCATACAAGATGGAATATGGTATCAAAATATCATTTTATAAGAAATTGCCAAGAAGAATTGACACTATTTATTTTCTCTTCTTGGGATATTAACATATACTCAGTTCCTAGGAACATTAATAAAAAATTTGGAAATAATTTATCAAATCTATTATGAAATAACCTTATAGTTCATATACTTACTTGAAATTCTTTGAGGGCATTTTAAAAACTGAGGTGTAATTGATATATAGCACATTAGTTTCAGGTGTACAACGTAATGATTCAGTATTAGTGTATATTGTGAAAATGATCACCACAACAAATCTAGTTAATATCTATCACTATACCTAGTTACAAATTTTTTTTCTTATAATGAGTTTTAAGATATACTCTCTCGAAAGCTTTCAAATATGCAATACAGTATTATTAACTATAGCCATCATGCTATATATTATAACTCCATGATTTGTTTTATAACTAGCTGTTTGTACCTTTTGATCCATTCATCCATTTCCCCCCTACCCTCAGCCCCTGCCTCTGGCAACCACCAGTCTCTTCGTTCTCTGTACTTGTTTTTTCGTGTGTGTGTGTTTTTTTTTTTTAAGATTCCACATATAGGCGAGATCAGATTATATTTGTCCTTCTCTGTCTGACTGATTTTTACTTTAAATAATTGACTAAATCCACTTCGTTTGAGAAATACCACCTGTGGCTGAAGGATAAGATGTATAGGATAGGAAGGGTGTATGCCACGTAGGAGAGATATTTTGATTGATTGATTTTTCTTCCAACATATTTTTTTTCTTTATTTTAAAAAGGTAACGTTTTAAAAATGCTTTAAGATATCAAGGAATACTCTCTCATACTTTGATATGCTCTCTTTGCAGGCTGCCTCTTATCAGCCTGCACATTCTCAGACTGAATCCTTCAGCCATGTTTCCAAGTATTTACATGCATGAAGTGGAAACAAAAGTATAGTTTTGTTTTTATGAGTATTCTTTTACCCAAATGGTACAGTGTAAATACTGTTCTCTAGTTTATTTTCCTTACTTAAAACATGTATCTGGAAAGCTTTTCATTATATTTTATTTACTTAACTTTGTTTTTCTTGCGGACACTATTATAGATGTTCCCCATTCCCTTTTATTTATCTCCACCCATTGTCCACGCTCCCTTCTCCTCTGGCCATCACCTCACTGTTGTCTGTGTCCAAGAGTTATGCATAGATGTTCTTTGGCTAATCTCCTCACCTTCTTTCATCCAGTCTCCCCCCATCCATCCCTGTCCTGACAGCTGTCAGTCTGTTCAGAAAAATGTAACAAGGTATATTTATAAAGTTTTATTTTTAGTTATATGGGTCACACAGCATAAGATCTGTTAATATTCTTGAGAAACCAGAGCTTCATATCTTAAATGATAAAATTCAGAGACAATTCCCAGTGACCCTTTGGAAAGTAGTCCTACTGAATATGTATCACCCATATAGACCTTATTATTGGCAAATAATGCACATTCTTTGAATTATAGCAAATACTAGTATTTGGCATTAACACTCTTGCCTTTTTCCTTGTTTATAAACTATTATTTTGATCTCTTACACTATAACTTAGAAGTGTGCTATTTTAGAAGTGGCATATTTCAAGAATACGTGTTTTAATTGTTATTTTTTTCTTGCCTATTATTGAAAGTCATAAAGATTGGGCTAACTATTATTTTGGGTGTGTGATGTACTTAGATTCATAGTTTGTAGACTAGCATTCCCTGCAAATGAAGAATGTTCTGTTTCATTGGAAAGCCGAACTTGAGCAAAAATTTAAAGGTGGGAACCTCTGCAAGGTGACATTCCATTAAGCATATCTTTATAGAAAATGAATTGCATCGTGAGTCATTGCAGTTGTATAAACTGCAGATAACCCTCCCTTAGCGAATGAAGATCAACAAATTCATGCACTTTAAAGAGATATCCTGGGTCAGATGATCATTTACTTATCGGAAATGGCTAATGAAATGTTGCCATGATTTATGGTGTGCTGTTGTACATTTTCTCAATATAGTAATTTATCTTTCATTTCCAACTGCCTGTGCAGTTCATTTACTGGGTAATAGTTACTTCAAATGTTTTATCAACTGCTTCATTTTTCTGTTCTCCTCTTCCTTGAAGATTCTTATCATGATGAGTTAGGGAGTAATACTTCATTTTAAATGACTTGTCTGTGCTATGGGTGGTTCAGAAATATAGGCAGAGTAGCTGTAAAGGGAAGCACAATCATTAATCTGAAATATCTATGTTGGATTGACTCCTGCTGTTATTATCAAGAACTGTAAAGATGTTATATCTTTTTTGTTATAAAAATATCTTTTAGATTAATGTAAGAAATATATGAGGATCACAAGGCATAGCAGCATGTGTATATTTATAATTAGAAACATTATTAAGTATTGTCCGTGTCTCAGAAATTGAATGGTGGAAAACAACTATCTCTGTTCCAGTGAACTAGGTTTAGCAAAATTTATTGACTACCTACTATGTGTACAGTACTCTACTGTTATAGTGAATAAACATTTTAATTTTATTTAAGAAATATTTGTTGAGTTTTAATTATGTGAAGTTTATTACATTTTATTAAATTTTAATTTAAAGTATATTTATAACTTGACAAATTTCCAGGCCTATGCTACCTTTATAAGCAATGTGTTTAAAATGCATACTAGATATATATCTCTTATATTTTGTTAAATAATTAAATGGAGACAATCCATAATTTTAAAAAAAGGATAATACAGAGTTTTGAAACATACCATTGTAATATAAAATTAGCTTTGTAACTTAGAAAATAAATACACTGCCATCTAATTAAAGTGGAAGTGTCTAAGAATGATGTTAAAAGTTAATAGGATGGGAGTTTTCAGTGCTCATCCTCTCACAAAGACATGATTTCAACAATTATCTATAAACAAAAATAGAGCTTTACAAGGGTAAGGCTGGTCTGCATATTTTCAAATGTAGTTCTGAATGACAGTGTACCCTTTTCTAAGGAATAGGACAGTATTTTTGCATCTAACTTTTTGCTGCCCTCCTTGCTATTGTCTACAGAAAGTATCACCTTGGGTTGGCTTGCGCAAGATCAACATATCCTACTGGGGCTGGGAAGACATGTCGCCCTTTACAAACACAACCCTGCAGTGGCTCCCTGGAGAGCCCAACGATTCTGGGTTCTGTGCCTACCTAGAGAGGGCTGCAGTGGCGGGCTTAAAGGCGAACCCGTGTACGTCGATGGCGGACGGCCTTGTCTGCGAAAAGCCTGTTGGTAAGTAGTCCAGTAAGACTCGTATTTCTTTAAAACATGGTCCCAACCCTCTTTCCACCATCCCTTCCAGAGTGTGCTCGTTTGTGGGCCTGTAGTAACCTTGGCCATCTTCTCAGGATGCTGAGCCCCATGTGGATTTTGAAATTTATCCACATTCCTCACTTATTACTAATGACCTAGGCCACATGTGTCAAACACAAGGCCCGCGGGCCAAATCCGTCTCGCCAGGCCTTGCAATGTGGCCCGCACCGCGCTGTCATCACTGCACTCCACTGCGTTTCCATCACAATGACAGTTTATGACTGTTCAGTAAACCATTCGGCCCGCGATTTAGGCTGGATTTTAGATTTTGGCCCCTTCTCTGATTGAGTTCGACACCCCTAACCTAGGCAGTAACTTGTGAAAAGAATACATTTTATTGTCTAAAAGTCTTTTTTTTTTTTTTGAAATTGTGAGATTATGAACATAGAGTTATAATTGATTATAGTATACTAAGAATCTATTCTTAATGTTTTAATAATGACTTTTACTTTTATAATAATAGCCTTTGGAAGAAAGATTTGTCTTTAAGATTAACAACTAATTTAGAACCACTTTAATCTTGCATATCTAATATTTCAGTTGAAAAGTAAAAAGACATTTTTGTTACATATTGTGAAATGGATTTTGTTAAGGGAAGTAAGAAAAGAATATTGAATTATTTTCTCTTTTTAAAGATTGTATTTTTTGTTGCAGTAATTTATAACAAAATTTATAAGTTTAAGCACATTTTTTTTTTCAGTTTCTTTGAGATATAATTGACTTTTTAAACCATTTTCAGTGTAGAGTTTCAAGGTTGTTAAGTAGATTCCCCTGTTGTGCATCTATCAATACCATTTAACTCCAGAACTTACCTTCCCAAACTGAAACCCTATACCCATTAATCAGTAAGTCTTTAAATTGCTGGCCTCTGTCTCTTTGAGTTTTTCTACTATAGGCAGTCTGGGCTTTTTTTTCTTCTTCTTTTAAAATATATTTTTATTGATTTCAGAGAGGAAGGGAAAGTGAGAGATAGAAACATCAATGATGAGAAAGAACCATGGATTGTGGAATCATAAATGTACAAGGGTTCTAAGTTGTCCACATTCTTGTCAACACTAAAAAAAAAAATAGTAGTCATTCTAATGGGTGTGATAAATACTATATTTTAGGTAAAGATTTTACAGTAAATTATTTATTTTTATTGTTTATATAAACAACATACTCATTGACAGGACATTAGCTTTGATAAGGTAGATAGTATTTAGCTAATAGATAGAACAGTTAGGTCATGTATTAGGCTTATATTTATAGTTTTTAAGTTATATACTTTGTAAAGGATTAAGCATTCCTAGAAATTATAAATTTTAAAATAAATTTAAGAAGTATTGACATATCTTCATTTTTTTAAAAAATTACTGAATTTATTGGGGTGACATCGGTTAATAAAATTAAGTAGGTTTCAAGTATCCATGTCTATAATACATCATGTCTATTTTATATTGTGTACTTCATTTTAACCTTAGGCATGCCATTTTAGCTTAAATTTTTATTCCACACTTGGCTTAATGGAAGTGGTCCCTGAACAGCAAACCCCACTCACTTGTGCCAAAGCACATTTACAAACACAAGATTGTGTGGGTTGCTTGCAGTGAGTCCGAACCAGAATGCAAGGCCCTGCAAGATGCCGTGCTCCCTGCGGACCTCGTGTTCCAACTGCACCAGCAACGGCATGGAGTGCATGTGGTGCAGCAGCACCAGGCGCTGCGTGGACTCCAACGCGTACATCATCTCCTTCCCGTACGGGCAGTGCCTGGAGTGGCAGACGGCCACCTGCTCCCGTAAGTGCCCCTGACAGGGCTGCTCCTTCCACAGCGACTTCCTCACTCTTCTACGATGGAATTAGACATGTGAGAAAGTCGTAAAAAATGGGAAAAATGGTGTTGCAGCTGGTTTTAAAACCTATTAGGGCCGTCAGCTCCTGGTTTATATCAAAGCATCATTTTGAAATCCACAGAGTATCTTGCCTACCGGTTAACCTCGGTGGCATTTGGCCTTCCCTGACTCCGAGCGCATGTTGCAAACAGCATAACATTCCCAAGGTCACAGATTGCTTTGCTGTGTTTCTGTAGTGTCCTTCAACCTAGGCCAGTTCCCATGAGTTCTCTGTCTTACATGTCTATGCTTTTTTTTTGGTTTGTTTGTTTGTTAAAGAATCTATACCAGTTGCATTCTAAGTTTCACAATTTGGATTTGTCCAGTTGTTTCTTCATGATTAGATTCAAATGAGCCTTTTTTAATTATTAGACTCAAGTGAGGCATTTTGGGCAAGAATATCCGTGGCGGCACAGCTGCTACAGAGGCGAGCTTACAGTTGGGGTTGGTATCATAACAGGAGTGGTATGCACACACACACACACACACACACACACACATATGTAAATTTATTACTGTACTACATTATATTGTATTATGATTTACGTACTTCTTGTATGTGTTTTATGTATGTTACATTTTATAATTAAAATGGCTAAAAGGTAGGGAAAAAGGTACCCAAGCTCTCATGCTCTTAAGAAGTTTCTAAAAATTATTTAAAATTAGATCTAAATTGTCTTCTCTTCTCACGAATCTTTCTTGTAATTCATTCCCTGTTATCTGTGCATCTTTTGGAGAACAGTACAGTAATTCTTTCTAAGTATACTTGTGGCTGGAAGTTTTTGAGGTTTGCATGTCTAAAGTGTATTTTCCATGTTCATTTGAATGATGGAAAGATTAGAACTTGAAGTTCTGAATAATTCTTTCCTGAGAACTTCTAGCATTCTCAGACCAACCTAATTTTTATTTTCGGTGGAATGTTTTTTTCTTTACTTTGAGAGCTTTCAAATTGTTCTCTTTATGGCTGGCATTCAAAATTTTGCATTTCGTTTAAATCCAGTTTTCCTGGAGTTGATATGGATTTTAAAATTGTCATTGTTTTTCCATCTGAAGAGTGGTTTCTTCACCTGTTAATGTATAAATTATTTTTTCTTCTATTTAATATATCCAACAAGAGTAAATAGTTGTTGGAATTTCTAGATATCTCAATATTTTTAAATTACTTTTACTTGCATATATATTTTTTAATTTTGCTTAGGTTTTGCTCCATAGCATTTAAAATCATATGGCCTGTGTGCATTCTTGTGGGGAAGTGGGACATTGTACTTATCTCAGTTGAGGTTTTCTAGTAACTGGAACTTGAAGGAAACGTCTCTTTGCAAATGAAAAGCAAATATAGATTTTGCAATATTCTTCAATATTTTCCAGTTATAATATTGTGATAAGAATGCTGAAAATTCACAAATTGAAAAAAAAGAAATATATCTTAAGACAAATTTTGCCTAATGGTTTTTAAGAAAACTTTGCTAATAACTGGAATTATAAATAGTTAATATACTTTAAGTAGGTGGATATTCTGTTTGTTAAAATGAAATGCCACGGGATTATTGAAAGCAATAATAGAAGATTTAGTTCTTAATATATAAAAATTCAAATAAAAATGTAATTAAATTGATATGGTGAAAATGGAATAATAAGAAACATGAGAATATAGTATACATTTCACAAATCTATATTTCTTTCAATATTTTACAGGTTTATGTACATGCTCAATTTAGACTTGTTATTCTTGGCAGTTAGGGAAGGTAATCTTTTGTTTAAATCAATTCTTCCTTTCATGAATCATGCCTTTGGTGTTATAACTAAAACATCATCAAACCCAAGATCATCTAGATTTTCTTACATGTAGTTTTGCTTATGTCACCCAGTTGTTCTTACATGCTGTTGACTCTATCCACGAGAGCTCATAGGCTATTAATCATAGTTTTAAATTCCTGTTCTGGTAATTCCAGCATTCCTGCCATGTCTGGTCAATGGTCTGATGCTTGTTCAAACTCTTGAATTAATCCTCTCTCTCTCCCTCTCTCTCTCTCTCTCTCTCTCTCTCTCTCTCTCTCTCTCTCTCTCTCTCTCTTTCTCTCTCTCTGCTTTTTGATAGGCCTTGTCATTTTTCTTGATAGCCAGATATTATATGTGAGTAAAAGAAATGGGTATAAATTGGCCTTCAGTAATGTAGTGGTGAGGAATGGGTGAAGAGAAGTATCTTACGGTTCTATGATTAGGTGTCCGCCTTTTCATGAGCCTGTGGCCCATCCTGTGAATTTCACTAGTGCTTCTTAGCTCCCCCCTCTCTCAGGTGGGAGAGCGTGGCTGGGGAGCTGGAGGTTGTGCATTTCTCTTTCCCCGCCCATGTTAGAGTTGGTATCTTCCTTTTACCAAGTCAGGTAGACTCTCATAGCACCCCAGGTGTTGGGACTCTGTTAAATGCGTCCTCCACGCTTTGTTCAGAAGTCTAGACTGCTCTGGCATATTTTAAAGTGGTTCCCTTTCTCTCCTCCTGCTGGGAGCACAAGGGGCTTTTTCTTCGCTCTTTACTTTGAGGACCTGCTAGAGCTTCTGGAGATACAGCTCAGAACAGTGTGGGTTCCTCTGATGACGGGGTGCCCTGGAGCCTTGAACTCTCAGAGTTGTCCAGAGTGAGCGCCCAGCAGTTCCTCACTCACAGGTCAGGTTTTCTGATTGGCCTGAGTCCTGCAAAGGTTATTTGGTAAATTGTGATGGTCTCCATCCACCTATCTGCCTTTCTGATTTAGGGGGTCGTGGTTTGCCCTATGACCTCACATCTCTGATGAATATAAGAAGAATTGTTGATTTTTCAGTTTGTGCTATTTTTTACTTTTTGTCAGGATGGAATGGTGACTTCTAACCTCATTACCCACTGGACTGGAAACCAGAAGTTGTCCGTAATCATTTGATGACATAAATTCTTGCAGATTAATTTTTCAAATTTTTATATATTTCAAAAAAACATATTAAATATTTACAACTTAATCTTTCAAAAAGTCAAAAATAAAATAAAAATGATTGCTCTGATTACTTGTGGATCACACATAGTCTCTGTACTATCCATAATTTAGGGAGCTTTTCTATTATTGTTTTTTGTAAGAAAAAGAAAAACCAATAGAGTCTGTCAGTTTTTGAGTCAGCATTAAAGGCTAAAGAATGAATTTCCTACAGGGTTAACATTAGTCACTTGTGTTTAATGACTCAAAAAATATTCTTTCTTTTATAATTTATTATTAAACAAATATAGGAGATGGTACTCATTTTCCACCTTCTTACTTCCCATCTCTGAAATGCTTAGCATGCAAGAAAGTCATAACAACAAATCATATTGTAATTGATGAATTTTTAAATCTAATATTCTGTTATTCCTTCATGGCCCTCTCTATTGAATTCTTGATGTTCAGTTTTGCCATTGTTTACTGAAATCTTACTGGGTACAAAATGTACCCAGTGATATTAAAATACTGAGTGGCAATTAAGTTATTGTTACAATAACAGTGAAATTGAATCTGCCAGGAATCTTCTAGAAGACATTTTTTCTTGGTGCCTTGTCCCTGTGTCACCATCTTCTGTGGATACACAATTCCCAAGACAAAGTGTGCCTGTTCTAGCAAAATATCACTTCAAAGAGCACCTCAGTCCAATATAGGATACTCCGATTTTGAATTAAAAATTTAAAGCATTACATAGGAACTTTTATAAATGCGATGGCAGACTATGATAGGTTCATTCTTAGAAAAGGCACCCCAGTATTGATAGGCTTTGTTGAGGGTCATAGGTTGCACATCAATGGAATAAAAAAGGCTGAGACTCACTGATGAGTCTCAGAGTGATTTTCTGCCCTGAAAGCCATAGACAGCCTGTCTGCTGGTTGCCTGACGGAGGCAGAGGATCCACTCTCCATGTTCCCATCCAGATGGCTCTTTGGGTGGAGATTGAATCTTACTCACCACAGGAGAGCCAAATACAGCATCTTGGACCTTTGGAAAGAGCACCATCCATAGGAGGCTGTCCTAATGTGGCTCAGCCTTCACAGGGACGGGCGGGCATCACAGCACTGGCCATTCCCAGGCAGAGTGCAGATTTTCCTTGAAGGCCTTCACTAGGCACAATAGCGAACGTGGCTGTACTTCAAGGACAAAGGAAGTGTGGGCTGTAGGCCCCTCATAAGCTCCCGAAGGTCCTAATCCTGCAAAGCTCAGGAGACTTGAAGTTCTGACTTCATTTTTCTCCGTGTCTTAGTCACCACCCATTTCTAACCCTCAAGTCCGTCCACCATCTCCTCATTGTTCATGATGAATGCTTTCTTTGCTTGAAGTAGTTGCTTTCTCAGGCATTATTACCAAAATGTGTATACTATCGATGACCTTTTACAGTCTTTTTTCTCAGATCACATTTATTTCTTCATTAGCTTACAGTTCTGCTTGAGTATAAAGCCATGTAACGTGTTTGTTAATGTTCCTGTCACACAGCTCAGAATTGCTCTGGGCTGAGAACCTGTGGGCAGTGCCTGGAGCAGCCGGGGTGTGGCTGGTGCAATGACCCCAGTAACACGGGAAGAGGACACTGCAGCGAGGGCTCTTCCCGGGGACCCATGAAGCTCCTGGGAACGCACAGCAGCGAGATGGTTCTCGACTCCAGCCTTTGTCCCAAAGAGAAGAACTACGAGTGGTCCTTTATCCAGTGTCCAGGTAAGAAACGTGTGATAACAATTGCAGTTTTTCAGACAGTTCAGTTTTTCAATCAAAGTGGTTTTTTCCAACAATTTCAAGAATATTTTTTTTCTTTCTTGTAATAAAGATTTAGAAAAAAAGAATAACAAGATGAGGCTAACATTCAGAAATAAAAAATATTCTTCCCTGTACCCACCTGTGTTGTATTGATGGTATTCTGTTCGGAATTATTAAATAGGCTGACCAGATGCATTGCAAATAATTATTAGATTTGGTATCATATCAGTTTTTAAGAGGAAATAATATTGGCCTATGCCTGTGGTTTTGTGTTTTTATTTTTTATTTTTTATTCTGGTATTATATCTTAGAATTCAAAGGTAACTCCTACTATCTAATCAGACTTCATGGTAAGAATGGTAAGAATTTTTTTATTCTGGTATTATATCTTAGAATTCAAAGGTAACTCCTACTATCTAATCAGACTTCATGGTAAGAATTTTCTCTGTAATACCTATGAAGTCACCTGGCCTCATTTTGAAAGTTGACTTTGGTATTCACTACCACTCAAGTTTGAAGGTCAGTAATTACTAGATTTTAGAATTTGTTTGATTTTTAGCCCATTTTTTTTTTTTTTTGAGTGCCTACAATGTGCTAAGGAATATCTTAGATGCTAGAGATACAACAAGTCACAAATAAGTTTAATATCATTCATGGAGTCTGTATTCATGGAGCTGGCATTCTCATTGAAATTACACATACACATGTGACATCAGATGGTGATACATGCTATTAAATAAAGAAGGCCAGGGAGGGGGGATATGGCTAGCCATTTAAGCTGTGTGGTTAGAGAAGATTTTCCTGAGAGAGGACTTGTGATAACCACCCTATATGATAAAACCATAATATGCAAATAGACTGAACATGGACCTACATAGTGGTGGGAGGCGGAGTTGGCGAGCAGGCGGCACCAGGCCAGCCAAGGCGTGTGCCAGTGGGCAGAGAGAGGGAACAGTGATGGGGGTGGTGGTGATCAGTGGTGTTGGGAGGGGTGGTAAAGGGGCTGGCATTGACCCCTGATCGGCCTGTCTGATTGCCTCCTGCAGAGAGACTGGGTGTCAGCACGGTGATGGGGGCAGTGCTGCCCCCTGATTGGCTGTCTGGTCACCTCTCCAAGAGGAAGTGTGCCTAAGCTGTCAGTAGGACATCCCCTGAGAACTCCCAGACTGTGAGAAGGTTCAGGCCAGGCTGAGGGGACCCCCTCCTCCCCATCCAGTGCATGAATTTTCATTCACCAGGCCTCTACTGCATAATATAAGAGTCCAAAGATTTATGCCTATGTTTTCTTTTTAAGAGTTTAATAGCTTTAGCTCTTGCATTTAGTCTCTGACCAGTTTTGAATTACTTAAAAAAAATGACTACCATGTTTTTATTTCATTTTATTGTGGTGGGGGGAGGAAAAGAAGAGGAGATATATATAGAGATAGAGAGAAGAGAAAAAGGAGGAGAGAGAAACATTGGTTGGTTGCCTCTCCCACTCACCCAAAAGGGTTTGAACCTGCAGCCTGGGTGTGTGCCCTGACAGGAATGGAACCATCACCATCATTTGGTGGATGGGATGGCGCTCCCGCTAACTGAGCCCTGCTAGTTAGGGTCAAGTGACTTCTTAAATGTGTTGTGAGAAAGGAACATAATTCTTTTGTATTTAGGTCTCCCAGCACCATTTGTTGAAAAGACTATTCTTTCCCCATTGAATTTATTTTTTATATTTTAGTTTTCATCTTTAGAAATTATATTTTAGTCATTTTATATTTTCATTTCTCTCTCTGTATTCTTGAGTATATGGATAACTCCCTTAATAATTGTTTTAAAATTTCTCTTCTCGTTCCATCCCTGTGCTATTTCTTTGTCTGTTTCTATTGATGTGTGTGTGTGTGTGTGTGTGTGTGTGTGTGTGTGTGTGTTTGCTGAATATGGGTCAAAATTTCCAGCTCCGTTATGTTGTTTGGTATCCTGGACATTGTGACTTTTGCAGTTTATTACTAAATTTTGCTTTATTTCTTTTAGTGTGTTGAACTTTTTTCTGGCATGCAGTTACACTACATGGATCTGTATGATCAATTCCAAAATTGCTTTTAAGGTTTGTTAGGACTTGTGCACAGCAGCCCCAAGTCCAGCGTGGATTCGTTTCCATGAGGACAGTGCCTCTGAGTGGTCTCTGCACAATGCTCTTTGCATCAAGAGGTTCCCTACTCAGACTAGTGGCCGTGCAAGCTCTTCCTCATCCTGTGGGAGTTGTTCTCTGCCAGTTCTTTTTCCAGCTTCATGGAGTTTCCCATCATGTCCAGTTATTCAGTCAGAGATGCAGTCCCCTCTGCAGATTGCTGTGTACATCTCTCGCCTGTGGTATTTTGTTCCACAAATTCTAGCCACCACGGCCTCTCTGAACTCTGGTCTACGCTTCAACTAAATCAGATCTCTGGCCTTTGCTTGGGTTTCCCTCCCTGAGCTACACACGCTAATCTGCTCCAGGTGGCAAGCAGGACACGCATGTTTTGTTTCCCTTTTTTCAGGCATGCCACTCCTGAGCTTCCTGTGATGTTGCTTCAGACGTTTCCTTTAGTTTTCTTGTTGTTTACCATTAGAGGTCAAGCGATTAATTCTGAATGCTTCTATTAGTGTGGTTGTTATTTTTACAATTAACCTCTTCTAAACAGTCATAGGTCTTGACTATTTTTGTTTTGTTTTTAAAAAGTCTAGTTTGACAGTCACTGTCCTTTATCAGAGTGTTAGTCAATTAAGATTTATCATAATATTGATATTACTGAGTTTAATTCATACCATTAAGGTATTGATTTAAAAATTTTTTCTTTATTTTTCTCTTTGTTGTTTGTTCTTCCTTTTGCCTTTTTTTTTTTAGATGAATTGAGTGTTTTTTAAGTCAATTTTTTATCACTTTCATTGGATTTTTAGCTATACCTCTTTTGTGTTTTTTTTAGTGACTGCTGTAGTGATTGTAATAGTCACCTTTATCTTATCACAGTCTACCTTGAATCAGTATTATACTACTTCATGTATAAGGTAAGAATATTACAATAGTGTAATTCCATTTGCTTTTTCCTGTCCTTTGTGTAATTATTGACATATATTTTACTTCTCCATATTAACCATACATCATCATTTTTGCTTTAAAGTTTTCTTATAAAGAAATGATAAAAATCTGTTTACTAACTTATATGTTGATCATTTCCTGTGATTTTCATTTTTTTAATAGAGATCTAAATTTCTTTTTGCTATAATATTTCTTTAGCTTGATGAACTTTAACTTAAATACTGTGTTTTTTCGATTATGGCATCAAGTTATAATAGCTTTCATATATATAAAAATATTTTTACATATATATATATATATATATATGAAGCATATTTGAAGGATATTTTTTTTACTGAAAATAGCATCCCAAGTTGACAGGTATATCTTTTTCAGTGCTTTGATGATATAATTTCCTTTTCTTCCAGCTTCCTCCATTTCTCTTAAGAATTTATCAGCTTTTTGTTTATCTCTTAACATCAATATGTCTTTTTCCTCCCGTTGACGTTTTTAAGGTGTTTTTTTTCGTTTCTTTCTTAGTTTTTGGATGCCAATAATTTTAATATAATGTACCTTAGTGTCAGTTTTATTTTTTATTGAGATTGAGAGTTGTATGGCTTATTTACTCTGTGGTTTCATGGTTTTCATCATTTTTGTAACTTTTCTGCCATTCACTCATTAGATACTGCATGTGTCCCATTGTGTCACTTGATTCTTCATTTCTAGGAGATAACTAATGTTAGGCTTTTTCACTGTTCCTAGTCTTTTTTACTGACTTCCCTATATTTTATTTCCTGGAACTTCTTTGATCTATATTTCAACTCACTAATTCTTTCTTTAAATGTTTCCAGTTTCCTCTTAAATTTGTTTTAGTTCTTTATTAACATTGCACCCAAATGCACTGTGTTAAAGCAATTTTATTCATGATTCTATACCATCTATTTTTGCTGATTTCTGCTAGACAGTTCTTCTTTCTCTTGGTTTTTCTCATGTGGCTACAGTTCCCTGGCAGTTTGACTGGTTTTGGATGGTCCCAGAGGTTGAACTAGGGTTCTCAGCTGCAAATTACCGTTCTGCGATGTGCTTGACTTTTCATCCTCCAACAGTATAGGCGCGACTTCTCTGCACGGGATTCTTAGACTAGAATTCCAGGCAGAGAGCAGAATATGTCTACCACTTGAGATCTAAGCCAGGATTTTTACCTCATCACTTACTTCTGTTGTTCTAAAAAAATCTTGATGCCAGACCATATACAAAAGGTAGAGAAAATCACACTTTTTAAAAATGAGAACTAGGGTAACATAACATTATGAATGTTGTGCATATAGAGATGGCAAAAATTTGTGCAAATTATTTTCAGCTCATATAATTAGTACTATTTTGCTTGTTGTTCATTGACATAATATATATATATACAGTCAGTCTGTCTGACTATCCAACCATTAGCTATGACATGTAATGACCACCAGAAGGCAGACACTCAACACAGGAGCTGCTGAGCTGCAGTGACTTGGGAGTGGTGGTTCTCGGAGGATGCACCCCTGGACCAGACAGGAGGGAGCCTGATTCCAGCGTGCATCATCTAAGAACTGCCTTCTCTCAATCTGGGATCCCTCTATGGATGTTGGAGAGCCAGTTTTGGCCAGATCCCCGCAGGCCAGGCCAAGGGACCCCACCTGCTGGAGAGACCCTGCTTAATCTGCAGATGCCCTTCGAGCCACGGTGCTGCCCCAGGTGTGGCTGGCTGTGGAGGGACCATGGCTCCAGAGTGTGTCTGGCCCATCTTACCCAATCCTACCCCCCTGGCCACCTTCTAATTAATTTTCTTTCACTATGCACAAATCCATGTACCGGGGCACTAATATGTCATAAGATCCACCATTTTGAAGTATAGAATTCATTTTTAAATATAATCAGTAGGAGTGCAACTATCATCATCATATAGTTACAGAACATTTTGAAAATATATATATTTTATTGATTTTTTACAGAGAGGAAGGGAGAGGGATAGAAAGTTAGAAACATCAATCAGCTGCTTCCTGCACACCCCCTACTGAGGATGTTCCCACAACCCAGGTACATGCCCTTGACCGGAATCTAACCGAGAACCCTTGAGTCTGCAGGCTGACACTCTATCCATTGAGCCAAACTGGTTTCGGCATAGTTACAGAACATTTTAATATTCCCCCCGCCCCCCCCAAAAAAACAAAAACAAAAACAAAAAAAACAAAAAAAACCCATTCCCTTTAACAGCCACTACTTTCCCTCTAAAGAACTACTAATTAGCTTTTTTTTCTTTGTGTATATGTCTGTTTTGGACATTTCATCTAAATGAAATCTTATATTTTCTTTGGTGTCTGGCTTCTTTCACTTAACATCTATTTTTAAGGTTCATCAATATTACAGCATATATCTGTTCTTTACTTATGTTTATGGTTGAATAATATTCAGTTACGTACACATGTTTGTATGTTCATCAGTTGATAGATCCTTGGCTTATTTCCACTTTTCTTGCTGTTGTGAATGATGCCACTATGAGCGTTTTTATTAAGTTTTATGTGGACATGTTTTATTTATTTTTTGGTATCTACCTAGGAGTGGAAATTTAGGTCGTACGATAATCTACATTTAACAGTTGGGGAAATTGCCAGGAGGTTTTCCAGGCTACTGCAGCATTTTACCTCGCCAGCAGAAGTGTATGAGTGTTCTAGTGATTCTCTCCTCACCGACACTGGTTAATGTCCATCATTTTTATTATTATCCTCCTAGCAGGTGTGACGTGCTAACTTACTGTGCTTCTGAATTTCCATTCCCTTATGATTAACGATGCCTTTTTCATGCACTTATTAGTTATTCATAGATCTTCTTTGGGAAATGTCTATTAGAACCCTATGTTCACTCAAACAGTTTTTTTTAATTGAAGAATATTGTTATTTATATATTCTAGATAGGATCTTAAATATTTTCTCCTGCACTATGAGTTGTCTTTTTAATTTCTTGATGGTGTCCTTTGAGACACAAAGTTTATATTTATTTACTTGAGTCCCTGTGCATGACATCTTTGCACTGGGTGGATGGGGGAGAGGGAAGAGGGGTCCCTCAGCCCGGCCTGCATCCTCTCGTGGTCCAGGACCTTGGGGAGTGGGCCTAAGCCGGCAGACGGACATCCCCTGAGGGGCCCTTAACACTGCTGTGGAGGTGAAGGAGGCTTCCACCACTGCTGCTGTGCTCGCCAGCTGTGAGCCCAGCTTCTAGCTGAGTGGCATGCCCCCTGTGAGAGTGTACTGACTACTAGGGGGCAGTTCCTGTGTTGAGCGTCTTCCCTTCGTTGGTCAGTGCATGTCATGGCGACGGGTTGTTCTGCCATTCAGTCGATTTGCATATTAACCTTTTATTATATAGGATTTTGGTGTCCAATATGTCTATATATTTTTTTAGGTTGTTTATGCTTTTGGTGTCATGTCTAAGAAACTGCCACCTAATCCAAAGTAATGAAGATTTACATCTATATTTTTTGTAACTTTTAAAAATAATTTTAGCTCTTTGTCTTTGACTCATATTTAGTTTATTGTTATAAATTGTATTTTAAATGGGTTCAAATTCATTCTTTTTGCATGTGGATGTCAAGTTACTCTAGAACCATTTACTGAAAAGACTATTAATGTTCCCCATTTCATGGTCTTGGCACCCTTGTTGAAAATCAATTGACCATAGATACATGGGGCTATTTCTGGACCTAATTCTGTTGCAGTGATCTGTATGTCTGTGCATATGCCAGTATCACACTGGTTTGATTACTGTATCTTTGGAGTATGTTTCAAAATGGTGAAATGTCAATCTTTTAGTTTTGATATTTTTCAAAATTGTTTTGACTAGTTTTAGTCCTTTGTAATTTAATATGAATTTTAGCCTCTTCTTATAAAAAAAAGTCTGTTGGAATTTGATAAGTATTGCATTAAATCTTTAGATCAATTGGAATGAATTGGTATCTTAATACTATTAAATACAGAATATCTTTATATTAATGTATTTCAACAATGTTTTGTAGTTTTTAACATACAAGTCTTACATTTCTTCGGCTAAATATTTCAAAGTATTTCATTCTTCCCGATGCTATTGTAAATGAAATTGTTTTCTTTCTTTCTTCTTTTTTTTAAAATATATTTTATTGATTTTCTACAGGGAGGAAGGGAGAGAGATAGAGAGCTAGAAACGTTGATGAGAGAGAAACATCGACCAGCTGCCTCCTGCACACCCCCTACCAGGGATGTGCCTGCAACCAATGTACATGTCCTTCACTGGAATTGAACCTGGGACCTTTCAGTCCACAGACCAACGCTCTATCCACTGAGCCAAACCGGTTTCGGTGAAATTGTTTTCTTAATTTCTTACTTGGATTGTATGCCAGGGAATGTCTCCTGCGTCCTGCTTTCTCTGATGGGCCGTCTCCTTTGCCTTTGCTATTGTATTAATTACAAGCTATGGCAATGACCGTTCTTTTTTTCTGGAAGTTTAGCTTGCAGTTAGGTCTAAACATAGCAGCTCTCTGTGTGGTATGTTCATGACACAAACATTAGACATCCTTGTAGCTCACCTCCCAGCAGCTGTATGGAGGCACACCAGTAATTATGCTTCTTGATTGGCGCATGGCCCACATCTGCCTTCAGAACGTCTCCCTTTCGGAAAGGGACAGTGAGTGCATTATACTAAGCATCCTTTTTCAACTTCCAGAGGGATCACAAGTTCCTACTTCCTAGTTTTATTTGTGTAGCTGTTACCGTACCTAGAGTTTTGTTTTTGCTGGCAAGTTTTCCTTATTATTTCAGTGGGAATCTGTGAGGATGACATGCAGTTGCTACACTTAACCCCTTATTCAGTAGTTAAAGGATTTGTTTTTCTGATGAACAAACATAGCCAGGAGTTTCATAAAAATACTTGAAGCAACCCAACTCTTATTTTGATTTTTCTCAGGTAATGCTTCACACATACTGAGCACTCAGTAAGTTTTGTTTTTACCTGAGTGAATTGGCCTTATTGGTTTCACATAGAAATTTCCTGGAAACAGTACTTTAAACTTTCCAGCAGAATGTTAAAAAATTAAAGTTAACTATTGTTCCTGATTATAAAAGTAATATGAATGCATTTTAGAAAATGGATGGTGCACAAATATTTACTAAACTAAGATAACCATCATTAACTTTTCCATAGGCATATTTTTACCTTTAAAAACAAAACTGTGATCATTTTAAACATAATGTTTTGTATCTTTGTTACTTAATTTGTCATGAACGTTTTCCTTTGTTATGAAACTTTCTCTTGTTTTATAATGTGATATATAATGATAAAAGTTGAACACTACAACGTTTCTTAACTCATTAAAGGATGGTGAAGATTATTTAACATTTTCCATGATGACCCCATGTCATTTCAATGCTATGTAACAATAGTTTTGCCTCTGAAAAATTTTGTAAGATATAGGTATTTGTGTTTTACTCTTTATGTGGGTGTATTTCTTCACTCTGATGTTATGACATTATTTTAGATTCTGGGTATTTCCCTCTCATTTTCAAATTTTCCACATAGAAGAAGTATAGTGTTTAATATCTGGTCTTTTGACTCATACATCTGATTACGTATTTCTTTCTGCCATTGATTAGCTGTGTGATTGGAGTAGTTGCTTAGCTGCCCAGGCTTCCTTATCTTAGAAATTATCCTAGAAATAGTACCTTCTACATAGAATTGTTGTGAGGACTAAAGGTATAATTCATGTATATCACCCAGGATGCTATATGACAGTGATATGGTATTTATAATATTTTAAAACCGGTGCAATATGTAAACTGACTAATCAGAATATATGCTTTCGTCAAACAGTCGGAATCACTCAAACACTGGCTTTCCTGCCTAAAGTGAGAGAGAGCTCAGTTAATGCTGTTTCAATTGTATTCGTGATGAAAATGATTTTGAAGATGACAATGTCGAGGATGTTTAGACAGTTACCAAATGAAGTCAGTATTACCCTCCAAAGAGTCACTAAAGGTTCCTAGTACAATATTAATATGAAAACATAACGAATCTCATATTATGGAAACAAAAACACTCATGCTTTAAATCTGATTCTGTCAGTTCACATTCACATAGGTTTTCAATTAGCTCTTGAACCTTTTCTTACACAAAGAAGCTAAAAATGTATGCAAATTAATTTAAAAGTACTATTTTTGCTGATCTTCCATATTTATATGTACTTGAAGTAAGAACCTATTACCACACAGTTTTCTATATTAATCAATTCTTTGTTATTATTTATAAATATAATTAAGGTGAATTTTAACACTTTTAATCAAAGCCATATTATTCAGACTTTTGTTTATGTAACTTCATAGACAATATTCACATGAATCTTTTGGGACTATGTTTAAAAGTATTCCCTGCTTAGCTATAACTTTCATGTTTCAATTTATCTCTAACTCGCACATTTTACAGAGGATAAGGCAACATTTCTAAGTAGAATTTATTGTATAATTGTTCTGCACTGATATTTAGAGCCACATATGTTATACATAAAACAATTTGGGAAAGGTCCATTGGACTTTGCTAACATTCAGATTTCTAAAATAAATTCTTTGTCTTGATATAATACTTGGTATTGTTATATAGATGTATATTTTTTTACTCTTTAGCTTGCCAGTGTAATGGACACAGCACTTGCATCAATAACAATGTGTGCGAGCAGTGTAAAAATCTGACCACAGGAAAGCAGTGTCAGGACTGCATGCCAGGCTATTATGGAGATCCCACCAATGGAGGACAGTGCACAGGTAATTCGTTTTTATTCACTTCAGTGTGCGTGTGTGTGTGTGTGTGTGTGTGTGTGTGTTTGTGTGTGTATAATAGAGAAAAGAAAATTGAGAAACATAACTATTGTGGAAATATATTTTTTTAAAAAGGAAATTTTTCCATCATGTCAATATTTTGGAAAGTAATATATAATAATTCTGTGATATACTTTAAAAATTTTGCTTTTGTTATTTCAAAATGAATTCATGTTCATTATACGAAATTTATCAAATACGGATAAGTTAAAAATGACCTGTAACCTCCCTATGCAAAAGTAATCATTACTGACTGTTTTTTAATTGTAACTTACCACTTTGACGTTAGCAATAAAATAATTAAGGGTTTGTGTATGCCTTATATCAGGTAAGATTGGTGGGGCGTTTTTGGACATGGTGATAGGATGACATAATGTGTAGAGAACGTGTTTGGAATCAATCCTGGGATGAAATCCAAACTCTACCACTGTTTTAGCTTAACAATAACCCACAACCTTTGGACCAGCTTCTACCACTGTTTGAATATATGACGGCTCATTACCGTCACCCCCAGTGCCTCCTTGTCCTCAGATGTGAAGGCAGATGATAATACTTCATTGGGTTGTTGTAAAGATCAAATGAGATCATTCGTAGTTTAGGCACATGTAATAGGAACTGCCTCACATTAGGAGAACATTTAAGGATGCTGTTATCTTCACATTTTCACTCCCTCAGTCCTACTTTTCTCTGTTTTCCTCTGTATTCTGCTTCTTTCCTCCTACATTTAAAAGAAGTTTTGGTCTTTCCTTAAAAATTTTCCTGTTATGTTGTGATATTTTTTGGTAATCCTTTTTATCTCGAGATTGATCTTTGCCCCTTAGATTATTTATCTACTTTTTCTAAATGGAGGCTGCCTATATAATTCCCACAGAAAGGTCTCAGTTGCTGACTATGAAATAATGAAGAATCTTTAAGGAGAGATTTGGGCCTTATCTTGGTGTATATATAATTAAAAAAAAACAACATATTTTATTGATTTTTTTACAGAGAGGAAGGGAGAGGGATGGAGAGCTAGAAATGTCGATGAGCGAGAAACATCGACCAGCTGCCTCTTGCACACCCCCTACCGGGGATGTGCCCGCAACCAACGTACATGCCTCTGACCGGAATCGAACCTGGGACCTTTCAGCTCGCAGACCGACGCTCTGCCACTGAGCCAAACCGGTTTCGGCAGTGTAGATACAAGTATAATTTTTAACACTACCTTCATACTGAAACTATCTGAACATCTTGTAACAAATACGGATGTCTGGACATTCCCTAAAAGAATGAAGTCAGTATCTGGGTTGGGTTGTAGGGTGATTCTTGGGCATTGGTTTTTTTTAAAGGCTTTGCAAGTGACTCGAATTGCACCCAAAGTTAAGAAACATGGGGCATGATGGGCTCATCCTTACAGGCAATAAAACTGCTCAGACTATAGCAGCTTAAGGATATCTGTCCATAGCTGACTGTTACAGACATTTTTAATGCCTTAATAAACAAGCTAGGCTATGGCACAGGTATTCTCTGAGGCTAGAGGATAGTAAAAAGGAATACTAACTTTTCTTTCTCTTTACTAGGATGGGGGATTTTTTTTCTTATTAAACTCTTCTCACATGTTGCAGATTGTTCATAGAAGCAGAAAATTTATAAGCAAATGAATTTGAGCATTTTCTAATAAAAAGTAAGAAGTTTAATTCTCTCAAACTGGGAGCAGTGACCTGAATAATCTAGAGATGTAGATAAATGAAAATTACTTGACGTGGAAATCTTGGTTTTATTAGTTGTTTTGACAGAACAAAATTAAAAGTTTGCATTTTCTCAGCACACATTATCATGCTGTGTGTCAGAGAAAAGCCAACCTGAGGTTTTATAGATCCCAGAGAGAGGCCATTAAATGAACAATTACATAATTACACACATATTTAGAATATGGCATAACCATGAAGTTATCCTTTCCACAAAGATTCTGCTCAGAATAGCGTTTTTATATGAATTTAATCATATTAAGAAACCAATAAAACCTTTTTAAATCATGCAGAACTGCTTGATTAAAAAGAAACTCCATTGCATAGCTGCTCTGATATGTTTTTTAAAAAATCAAATTCTTTATTTTAAGTATTACATATTATCTCTCCCCCGTCACTCCCCTTGCCCCCAACACATGCTCTCATCCCCCTCCTGTCTATGTCCATTGGTTTTGCTTATGTGCATGTATACAAGTTCTTTGATTGATCTCTTATCCTTCCCTGCCTTCCCTCTGAGGTTTTGAGCATCTGATCTATACTTCTCTGTCTCTGGATCTATTTTTGTTCATCAGTGTATGTTGATCATTATATTCCACAAATGAGTGAGATCATATGTATTTATCTTTCTTCAACTGGCTTATTTCACTTAGCATAATGCTCTCCATGTCCACCCATGCTGTTGCAAATGGTAAGAGGTCTTTCTTTTTTATGGCAGCATAGTATTCCATTGTGTAGATGTACCACTGTTTTTTTAATCCACTCATCTGCTGATGGGCACTTAGGCTGTCTCCAAATCCTAGCTATTGTAAATTGTGCTGCTGTGAACGTAGGGGTGCATCTACCTTTTCTGATTGGCGTTTCTGATTTCTTGTGATATATTCCTAGAAGTGGGATTAGTAGGTCACATGGGAGTTCCATTTTTAATTTTTTTGAGGAAACTCCATGCTGTTCTCCACAGTGGCTGCACCCATCTGCATTTCCACCAGCAGTGCACAAGGGTTCCTTTTTCTCCACATCCTGGCCAGCATGTGTCGTTTGTGGATTCATTGATGATAGCCATTCTGACAGGTGTGAGATGGTACTGCATTGTCATTTTGATTTGAGTCTCTCGCTCTGATATTTTTAGCTAGGTTGTCCTCCCTCTGTACTTATTTTGAAATCTTTTGTTTTCCTCAGTGAAGTACTCCTCTCAGATGCTCTAGGTTTTCTGTGCTTCATCTTTTCAAGTTCTTTCATCCTTTGGGTTCTCACAGAAGGAATGACGAGGACAAGAATGAGCCTATGTGAACTTTGACACTGACACTGGGTCAGGTATTTCAGGATGACCTTTGCTTTGGACACTGGAAGATGTGGATTGTGACTTTTCCTACTAGAGGCCTTTTAGAAGAACTGCTAGAGACACAGTCCTTGAACCTTTGGGGACTGGGAAACTTGGCCATGGCTGAGGCTAGCACCGTGCTGACATCCACTCCCTTCCTCAAATCCCCCTCCCCGTTTGTGATTGGCAGACTTCTACTTTTCATCCCAACTTAAAGTCAACTTTGACTTCAACTTTTAGCAGTGTTGAATAACCCTTATATCATTTTATATCATTTCCCCCGTTTGTTGTTTAGTTTTGGTTATAAGTTGATATTTCAACTTTATATTATAGGGGAACAGAAATATCGTGTGACCACATAATGGCCCTCTTGTGTATGTCTTGGCTATAAAATCGTCATGTAAAATTCACCAAGCAAAAGGCCACTGCATGACGATTTCATAGGTGATTATTCAGCATAAAAAGAGAACCCCACATGCTGACAACAACAGAACAATTTCAACACTGTCATGAAGCATAAATTTTAAACAATTGAATTTAAAATACATTTGTGCCATTTGAGCCTGAAGTGCAGCACCACAAGGGAGTTCTCTCAAAATGAACTCACACTAAGAGGACTTTTAATACAATTTTTTTTTGTCTCAGGAATTATTAAAGCTACTATACAATGATACTTCTTTTTAAAAAACTCTGTATTAACTATTTCCAGTACTGCCTTAAAGGATAAATAAAAGGTTCATCCAAGTTTTAAATTATTATTGTACATAATGTTTTTAGTGAAGTTCTGAATACAGGGGGCAGTATGTTTTTTTTCTTTATTGATTAAGGTATTACATATGTGTCCTTATTGCCCCATTGTGCCCCCTCCCCCATGTCTTCACCCCCGTGTTGTCCGTGTCTATTAGTTAGGTTTATATGCATGCACACAAGTCCTTTGGTTGATCTCTCCCCCTTATCCTCACCCTCCTCTACCTTCCCTCAGCTGTTTGACGGTCTGATTGATGCTTCTCTATCTCTGGATCTGTTTTTGTTAATCAGTTTATGTTGTTCATTATATTCCACAAATGAGTGAGATCATGTGACATTTATCTTTCTCTGACTGGCTTATTTCACTTAGCATAATGCTCTCCAGTTACAGGGCAGTATTAATATGAAACTCTGCAAGTTAACGTGAAGAGATATCATGGGACTTTCATTCACTGCTTATTAAGTTGCATACGTGTATCGGTGTATCTCCATGTCCACGTCCTGCTATTGCTTGATGACCTTTTTTTTTCTTCCTTCCTTGCATTTCTATACCTTGTCATTCATTTCTGTCATTCTCATGCTTGTGTTTACATAGTTAATGCTACAATTCTAAAGGAAAACTGTGCTGATTAATTTAAATATTCATTATGAAGAAAAACTCACTTTTATGTAGAAATTTCTTCTAGACTAAGAAAACAGGTTCTTAAAAATCTACCTAATGTGAATTTATTTTTCTGTGTGTAGGGGTATGTGTATTTATATTAATTGTTGATTTTTTTTAAAGCAAATAATCTGAAACAGCAAGAAACTTAGTGTTCTAAAATACTTTACACTTTAATCAAAGCCAATGAGTTTTATATTTGTATGTGAATCAGGATCACACCACATAATTTCATTTTTGTCAGTAGAATGGCTCAACTGCCTAGGAACACATTGTTTTCTCATGAAAGGGTTTAAAGGGGCTAGTGATGTGGGCACTAAAGATAGAGCCTATCTCTGGACGGGAGGATGACTTGGAGCCTAGAAATGCTAACAGATCAGATATGTGATAGCATTGGTGTCAGAGAATGTGGGGGACAGTGTTTGAATGCTGCTCTCATGATGAAAAGCGGGGGGGGGGGGGGGGGGAATGTAGTAACTAGCACCTTCCAAATCTTTGGCTCTTGGCACAATCACGTGTGAGGTCTGTGTCCTAAATGACTCAACCTAATTCAAAGTAGGAAATGAAATAAGTTCAAAGTAGGAAATGAAATAAGTTCATGTGAACCAAATCCACTGTGTTGAACTCTTACACTCTGTTATACTTCAATTGTTATGGAGAGCTAACCTGGGGAATGATCTCAGAAGTGTAAAAGGATGATATTGGGGGCAAGTAAATAGATGTGCTTTTTTTTTTTTATATCAACAGATACCTATTTTTATTGTTGCAGAAAGAATAGTGGAGACAATGCATTTATTAAGTGCTTGATATGTGTTAGATATTTTAAAATACATTCCCTCACTTAATTCTCACATAAATCCTTGGGGCTAGGGTCCTTATTCCTTTTGCAGATGGAGAAACTAAGGGTAGAGAGGTAAACATACATTTCCCAGAGCACATGTCTAGGGATTACAGATGCACCTTTTGAAGCCAGTCTGCTTGACTCCACAGCTCTTGTGCTATTTGAGACCATTTCACTGCGTAGATATCCCACGTACAAGTGGACAACACAAAGAAGAGTGAGAAAAAACTCAGATCCATATGTATCCCAAGGACTTAAAAGAGCTTCACAAACATTTAAAATAAGCAAATTTACTCCCCTTTAACTTAAAAAAAATGGCTTATGTAGTAACCCCTAGTTTTTGGATGGCGAGGGAACATCCATGATATGAAATCTTCCCGGAAATGTGCTGCACGCTTGTGATGGAGAATGTTCAGTACCATTTTGGTTTTACCATTTTGGTTTGACTTTGCAGCTTGTACATGCAGCGGCCATGCGAACATCTGCCACATGCATACGGGAAAATGCTTCTGCACCACCAAAGGGATAAAAGGTGACCAGTGCCAACTGTGAGTAAAGAGGGTTGTTAGGAACTTTTGTGGGTTGAATTTGTGCTGAAGAACTAATTTTTGTACGTTTTTCCCTTTTTAAGTTGAGTGTTGTGCTAGTTAAGCAACCAGTATTATTGTAAGCTGTGTTTACCTGGGTTCTATCAATTCTAATAAAAATTTAAGCCTTTGAAAATGACAGTTTTGGGGAGGATTTAAAACAGAGTCCATAGACTATGTTTGTATTTTTATCTCTCTAAAAAGAAGAAACATTCTTATTTTTTTTTTCTGGAAAACTCATGTTATATGTAAAATCTGCATTGTATTTTTATAAATTTCCTTTGTATCTCATTAAATAACTGAAATCCAATGTTTTTATACCTTTCTTTTGAATTTTGTTAATACTGATATTTGTAATCCTTTAAGCCTTTTAAATGGTTTCTTCTACTCATCTTTTCCCTTTATGGCAGTAGACAGAAACTTGTTGTTACTATGCTCCCAGTAGTTTTATGAATGGTTATTTTATAATTTAATTGTTTTCTCAAGATTTATTCCCCTCCCCCAGATAACTTTAAGAAGCAATTGTTTTATGTTTTTCCTTTTTATTTTTAATATACATCATACATTAAAAATCTTTTTATAATTTTGAAGTATATATATATATATATGCAAATATTTATGTTTATATTATAGATTATAGGTTAAATGCACTATATTTGACACAAACCATAAATGGCAACTATAATATAGTTATAAAACATTAATAGAAGATTTTCAAAAACTAGGACTGTATAAAAAATTATACCGAAAGAAGTCTATTAACCAAAGAAAATGATTATTTTGTTTTTATTGAGAAGAAATATATTTTTAGCTGTAGAATTACCCCCAACATTTATGTCTTTGACTAGTTACTGTGGTATCGAAGGTTTTCAAGTTCAGAGAAGATGAGCAGAACCAATTTTATTTCTTCTCCGTAGATTCTAAACTAAAAAAATGGGCCAGAGCATAAGATTATAGGAGAGTTCTTGTTAAGGAAGGCGATTGTGGCCTCATTACCAGTGGGATGCAGTCAGAGTCCTGTGCTCTGTGAAAGAAGGGTGCCTCAGGCACTTCACAGCTGCCTGCTCTAAGCAGAGCCCACTTCAGGGGCATGTGGCCTCTGATCTGCACAGGGCTTCGTGCTCCCAAGGCCGTCATGCGTGCTGTAATGCTCTGCTGATGCCGTATTGAAATTCTTTTTGTTTTAAATATATTTTTATTAATTTCAGAGAAACAAGGAGAGGGAGATAGAGAAACATCCATGATGAGAGAATCATGGATCGGCTGCCTCCTGCACACCCCCTATTGGGGATCAAGCCTGCAACCAGTGCATGTTCCAGACTGGGAATCTCACCTGTGACCTCCCGATTCATAGGTTGACACTCAATCACTGAGCCATGCTGGCCAGGCCATATAGAAATTCTTAATAAATTTTTAACAAGAGTCCTGCGTTTTCATTTTACATTACTGTTTGCTTTCCTCTTAGCCACCTCCACCATGAATTATGTAACAGGTCCTAATCATAAGCAACAAGTGTTCTATTTTTGTTCTGAGATCCCATCATGATGATGAGCACTGACATTTTCAATTTGTACTGCACTTCTGTATCAATGATATAGCCATCCACAATAATTATTATCTCTGACGCGATGTAGCACTTTAATAACATATTATTTTACTTGAGATGAGAAAGCAGCATTTTAATTCATTGAACTTATGGGTTTATAAGTTTAGATATACGGAGTTGCAGGGTTTGGCGTATGTGAGAAATACTGAAAAGTAAACTATTTAGCTCTGAATGATGGGATTACATTTACCCTAGTTCTTATGTACCGCATGAGTTTTTATAAGCAGAGGGAAAATTGGATCACTAATTTATTTTATTTTATATTTTATTGATTTTTCTACAGAGAGGAACAGAGAGGGATAGAGAGTTAGAAACATCGATGAGAGAGAAACATCGACCAGCTGCCTCTTGCACATCCCCCACCGGGGATGCACCCGCAACCAAGGTACATGCACTTGACCGGAATCAAACCTGGGACCCTTCAGTCCGCAGGCCAACACTCTATCCACTGAGCCAAACCGTTTCAGCTGGACCACTAATTTTTAAAGAGTATTTTGTAGATACAATTTCATTAATTTTTTGTTTTATTTATTTAGCTTTTTGAGTGTACGACAAGGGAAGATAGGGCCATTATTCCTAAAGCAGTTATTTCCTATAGCGTGCTTACAAAATGCTCTTGTTAGAAAGCAAGGCTAGTTATTCATCTCAGCAAACAATGATTAAATGAGTGCTTGGCACTATTAATGAAGATTAATAACACAGGGTTTTTGCTTAAAGTATTTTTCAAGCTAGCGGTGGAGACACAAAACAACATACACTAATTTTGTACATTAGTGATTTGAGATGCTTATCAGCACTTCTCTCTTAAGATAATTTCTGCTCAGCTTGAAGCATGTAGTTGGGCATCACATATTCTTGAGTATTTTTTCAAACTGAAATTGGTTCTCTTCCTATTTGTTAATCTGTCGCTTGCATCATCTTTGTATTTGCCTGTATCCTTTATTGCAATGAAATTCTTTGGGGACCTTTGCATGAATAGCATAATCCCAGTGTTCAATAGTTTATTTAATGAAATGGAATGAAAAAAGAATTGAAGGAGTACTGAAAAGAGAGGGAATAGTTCATCTTCTGGGAATAAGGGCAGTTTGAGTAGAGGACATATGAGCTGGAACTTGAGGGAGGAATTCAGTTGTTCTGGGTAGAGAATATAGTGAACAGTGAAGCAAAATTGAGAATGAACATGGTTATAGAATTTCCAGTTTTGCTCAAGGATGTAGAGAGCTGGAAAGAACTTCACTTCTGTCCTTACAATGAAAGAAAGAATAGCTTGGCAAATGACAAATTTATGAATTTTCTTGAGAACATTGGATGAATTGAGATGGCAAGGTAACCAAATGGCTTATAATCTGAAGAAAAACAAGATTTCAGAGAGAGATGGGACATGAGAAATAGGTTTTCTGGAATGAAATAACTGGAATCTTAAGAGTTCAGCAGAGGTGGCTAATAAATTGCTGCTCACGTGTGCTCTCAACAGAGGGCGAAACTCCTGACAGCTACAGAAATGGGGGCGTTCACACCATTTTTAGAGGATTTAATTTTCCCTGTGACATCCTCCAGGTGCTGCTAGAAAAATTGAAGAACTTTTTAAGAATGTGTTTCTTTAAAAAAAAAAAAAGAAGAATGTGTTTCTTATGGTATAGGAGTGTGTTTTGTGGGTCGGGCGATATTGGGATACAGATATTCATTTAAAGGGGCACCAATTACTCATTTTGCCAGCATAATGGAAGTTCTCATTCTGGCCCTGGCCTGAAACATAGTAGGAACTCAAAAATGGTAACTAGAAACAAATTTAATGAAAACATGAACTCTAGTATAAATATGCAATGAGTGAAGTAGTATTTTCTATGAATATTGTTTACTTTTGAGGAGCTATTTTTTTCATCCTTTACCTTTTGTCAGCAATATCTGAGATTTTTACCTATTTTGATCCATTTTTGTTACATAATAGCCTCGTTTTTGGTTGTGCAGGAAGACAGAGGATGATACCAATGCCTTTTTCATTTTAGGAAGACCAAACATGTGCCCTCTATAAAAGCAATAATTTTGGTTATTGCAATTTCATTTTATTGTTTTTATAGTGTTCAGTTTTTAAAACCAAAGTCTTAAGTTTATTATGGTTTCTAATTGTCTTTTATAGTTCCAGTTTTTTAGTCACATTTTTAATCTTGTTCATTATCTTCTTCCATTTAAAAAAGTTATTTCAGAGCCCGTGTCTTTCCCCAGATAATATCTAAATTTTCATGGTTTTATTTACATGAGCCTTTGTTTCTGCTGGCTCCTGTTCTTATTTATCAGTTCCCAGCCCTGGTTATTTTTTTATTTTTGCACTGGATTGCTATATTTGCAAAATTTGTTTACAGATAGTTTGAGACCTTGAACGGAATATTTTTCCAAAGGGAATTAGATTCTGCTGTGTGCCTGAGGGCGGTAGTGATATAAGGATGGTTCAAGTTAGAGCTCAGTCTCTTGAAGGACTTTCTGTGTCCTTACTCCTAAGATTAGTCTTTATTGCTTAGCTCACCAACCTTTGGTGGGCCTAGGTGATAGTCCTTTTTCCTTCCAAATACTATTTCCATCCATAATCAGGGACACAGGGATCTGCCAATAACCTGGGATCCCATCCCCTGCATCCTGGCTTGGTAATTTTTTTTTGCTTTTCTGCTCTCCAATGTTTTTACATATTAATAAAAATCTATTCTTGTTAGTTTTCTTAAACTTACTATTATTGGATTCTGAAATCTATACAGCCTTATAATTTTAGGACCTGTACCTCCTAGACTATTTGAAGATTTGTTGTACCTCCATGTCTGAATTTTTATTGGTTTTTATGATAAGTTGCCTTGGATATATGGTATCGCTATTGATACTGGTGTACTCTAATATTTTTATGGGTTTCTTTAGAAGAAAAACAAAGCAAAAGAATTGTTTTATTTTGTGTATAAATTTCATAATTTCTGATAAAAACACAAATATGATTATCAGATTCTCAGCTGCTATAAATAATCTGTCATGTTATTTCAAGTTTATGCAATTAGATGTATTTCCTCCTTTTTTTGTTTCTGAGTAGAAAAATTATATCTCATGGTAAGATATATATATATATATTTAAATCAGTAGGAACAAAACGAAATGCCTTATTTTAACACTTAAAAACATGAATTATATAATTTAAAGTGGTATTTATAATGTAATGTGATCTTTCATATAAATGATAATCATTATTTTAGGTGACAATATTTACCCTTTCAAACTCCCTACTAAATATTTCAGCCTAAATTTGTTTCCTAAACTAAGCTTAGTGAGAATAGAGAATGATTATCTCTTTGCTTAGTCACAGAAATACTTTGAAGTTGTCTTTTTAATTAAGCCACTCAGAAGACTTCTGAAGGCTTTTAATGTTTGTATCTAATCACTATACAGAAGGATTCTGAATTTTGAAAACATTACTTAGCTTACATATCAGAAATTGTAATGTAACTTATAGTGAAAATTAATTTATATCTATACTTTTCCCTTCACATTTTTAATATGATTTGAACTTGAATTTGATGAGGTAATTTAATCCCACAAATTATTTATTATGTGAATTAGACTAGTAATGTCCATATATCAAATAAAGACATACTGTAGATATTTTTATAATAAAAATTTTATACACAATAAAAATATGGTGAACAGACCCTAAGGTGATACCACTGATCCCTGCCTTCTGCTACTCATGCTGTTGTATCCTTTCCTTGAGTATGGGCAGGACTTGTGACTTGCTTCTAAAACAGAAAATTGGCAAAGGTGATGGGATAGCAAGTCTATGGTTATATTACCTTATATGATAAAGGTGATGGTCTGTCACTTTCATGAATATACTTGAAGTCTGTGTCTTGCTAAGGAGACTTGCTCTACAAACTTTCCCTTTTCTGTCTTAAAGAAGTGGAGCTTAAGGTATCCTCCAGCCAATAATAAGAAACAAAGGCTCTCAGTTCTATAGCTGCAAGGAAAAAATTCGGCCAACAACCCAAGGGAGCTTAGAAGTAGGTTCATCCCCGGTTAAGCCTCTGATGAGAACGCAGCCCCAGCTAACACCTTGATGGCTGTTGCACAGAGAACCCCACTCTAGCCAAAAAGCTGCATGGTAGCCCAGTGAGTCTGAACAAACTATGCCAGACTTCTGACCCATGAAAACTGTGAGATAATAGATGTGCCGATTGAAGTCAATAAATCTGTTACTTATAATTAGATAATTAGTACAAATATGCCCACTTGCTGTTAACTTTATTCACTGAGTTGTCTGTATATGTACAAAATATTTATGTGACACATTAAGTGTTTTCAAATTATGAAGGGACTCTCCAGGCTTTGAATGAGAAAAAATATTTTTCTCAAATGGGCCAAATAATTTCAACAATGCAAAATAAGACTTTTCTGAAAAATAGACTAGAAAGAAATTTTACTTTTGTGTTACTAAACAGTGGTTTATTACCAGATGAAACACAGTTTAAAACATTTTTTTTCTGATAATTTTACATTTATATATGCAAAATTGCCTTATAAAAGATTTTAGAATTTCCTTTGTTTATAATAATGTTTTCTCTTTTTGTTGAAAATAGTTGTTTGTGAGGTCCTCCATTCTGATATTTTAACTTGCATTTATTTAAAAAGTCTACAGTGAAATAGAAGATTATGACAATCTTGATTTCAGATCACTTTATTTTTTGGGTTACATGAAAATCTATAATGACTGTGCTAAACATTTCAATATATCAGCTGATTATACTTATAACAGATTAGCTTAAATGGTTTTATCAATTTTTTTCTGCCTTCGGAAAATGAGATGGGAAGATCATTTGTCTGCAAAGCACAGCATTGGGTATAAGTGATACATTTATACATGCATTTACAAATTTACACATTTATTTGAGATTTCATTTATTTCATCCCTTGTAATGAAGATACGTTTCTATGGGCGATGACTCTGCTATTAGAATGCATTTACTTTACTAGTAAATAAGGTCTTGGATTTTGATTAGAGATGACAAGTAGATCTGATTTCTTTCATTCCCTCTTTCTTCTTGTCCTTTCTGAGTGAGTTAAACTTGAGACAGATTAATCTGATTGGACATGACATTTGTTATGAAAAGGAAAATGGATTATTCTTGCCTGCTCTGACTTTACTATGATGATTACCAACTTCCTTACTTCCTCCGCATTTATGAATCACTGCTCAGAGTTGTGCTATAAGCAAGAGCTCTCCTCTCTGCACCATCTATTCATTATTGCTATGAACACATGCATTCTTATTTTTTCTAATGGTTTGTAATTCACGGCTATACTTAATCTTTTGGCCCTCAAACTCTCCCAGATTTGGTCATGGAACTACTACAAGCTGGCTCTTACGTTTTTGTGACATGCTCTCATCAGTGAACAGATTATATCTGTCCTGATTCAAACCCAGAATCAGCAGCCCGCCCCTAGCCCGTTTTTGTTTTGCTTTGGTAGAGCGCTGGGACCTTGTGATGGAGAATCACTCATAATAGAGATCAGTATCTTTGTGCTACATGCTCTTTGCTGCAAGGTGCACTTACTTCCTGGCCTGTTCCTCAAACAGAGTTAGAGAATAATTATTTATGTATACAAATGAATACACATAAGTGCATACTTCTAATTCCAAGTCATCTCCACAAGATTCTGTTGAGTCTTTTTCATTTTAGTAATTGTGTCTTCTTTCTCAGTAAATCACTGACTCCCAATGACATAAACACATTCCTCATTTGCTCAATTTTATAATAGAATACACGTAAAAATTCTTTCAGAATTGCTTTATCTATATTATTCAATAAGTAAACATATTAAAAGGATTTTAAAGTTTGATTCCAGTTTTCCCTCCTCCACCTCACACTGGCCAAGTTGAAAGTATATAGTCAATTTTTTGAGGAACCTCTACGCTATTTATTATAGTGCTTGCACCAGTTTGCAATCCAACCAACAGTGCACAAGGGTTGCCTTTTCTCTACATCCTGCCAAAGTTTGTTGGTTGATTTATTGGTGTGAGCCATTCTGACAGGTATCAGGTGACATCTCAATGTGGTTTTAATTTGCATTTATCTGGTAATTAGTGATGGTAAGCATCTTTTCATATGTCCATTGGCCATCTATATGTCCTCTTGGGAGAAATGTCCATTCAGATTCTATGCCCATTTTTGAATTGGATTTTTTGTTCTTTTGGTGTGGAGTGGTATGAGTTTTTTTTATGTTGTTTTTTTTAAAAATAAAACTTGGACATTAACCCCTTATCGGATGTTTCATTGGTGAACATCTCCCATTCAGTAGGTTCTCTTTTCATTTTGTTGATAGTTTCCTTTGCTGTGCAAAAACTTTTCAGTTTGATGCACTTCTATTTTTTTCTTTTTCTGTTGTTTTTTCCCTTTTTTATTAAATTTCTTGGGGTGACACTGATGAACAAAATTATACAGGTTTCAGGTGCATAATTATATAATACATTATCTATACAAATTTTATTATGTTGAAGGTAAGCATATTATGATAATTTTCAGTCCAATATAATATTATATAATTTGAATAAATGACTTATTATTATTATATTGATCCTCACCTGAGGATATTTTTCTATTGATTTTGAGAGAGAGTAGAAGAAAGAGGAAGAGACAGAGAGAAACATCCATATGAGTGAAACACATTGATTGGTTGCCTCCTGCATGAGGTAACCAGGAGGTTACCAGGGCTTGGGATGGGGAGGAGCCTGCATCCGAGGTACATACCCTTGACCAGAGTTGAACCTGGGACGCTTTGGTCCACAGGAGGATACTCTAACCACTCAGTAAAACCAGCTATGGCCACACTAACTATTATTAACAAAAATGAAAGCTACAAAACTAGATTTGTAACCAGAGCTCATAGAGTCAATACATACATCAGTTGTAAAGTTCTTAAGTTCCTTACCGTTTATCAAAGCTACTCATTTTATTTTCATTAATTAATTAATTTACTGAACTTATTGGGATGACATTGGTCAGTAAAATTTTATACAATGAGTCATTTAAAATTGCTAAGGGACTTTGGAAGACATCTATTTAGGCAAGTAAGATATGCAGGGAATATCATGCATAACAAAAATATTATGTTGAATATTTTCCTATTCTAAAAGTAGTATTGGGATACTTATTTGCAACAATCAGGTTTATTTTTGCTATCATAATACATAAAAAAGAATTATAATGGCATTATAAATTAGTCCTTTAGTCTATGTATATTCTTGGTGCAAAGTGATGAAATGTAAGGAAGCAAGCCCAGTAATAATAAAGGGACAGTATAGATTCTGAATTAATTCAGCAATAATGGGTATTATTTTCTAACACTAGAAAACTACAATATCTTCCACATTTTAATAATAGCATTTGGAGATGTTACATCTATAGTTTTTAAAGATGTTTTAATATAGAGTGTTAATTACTTTATTGTTTAAAAAACAGGAGGTTTTTGAATTTTTGTGTTTAATAGTGAGTTTTTTTATTCCTACAGATGTGACTCTGAAAACCGCTATGTTGGCAATCCACTTAGAGGAACATGCTATTGTGAGTATTTGTATTTTTCATTTTTAATGAATTGGTTTGTATTATTAGTTTCAGATGTTTTTTCAGATAACAAAATTCATGTTGTCAGGATTAGGTTACCATTTTTGTTTTCCTCAAATTTGTTAAAACATATACATATTGCAAAGAAAAGCAGTCTTTTGCTTTATTTTCTTAATTTTATTTGGTGCATTCCCCCCCCACCCTCCATTCTGAAGAGTAAAATAGCAATAGATCTTATTCTGAACATGGGACAACATATAGAACTTGAGTAAACTCAGCTGGATTTTTCATTTTGATCAAATTTGAACAACTGCAGTTTTGATAGATTGTTAGAAGAGAACATTTTGGTTATTATTAAAAACTGAACTGATTTTGTATTGAAAGACACTTCCATTTGGTCATGAACATATGGTGGATGTGTATTTCACTTTTTAGAAATATCCAAACGATTTCTCAAATGGTTATACCTCTTTACATTTCCACCAGTATAAATGAATTTTATTTCTTCCAAATACTTTGATACTTCGAATGGTTAGTCATTTTCATTTTATGTATCCTAAAAGGTATCTAATTCTCACATCATTTGCATTTCCCTAGGGACTAATGATGTAAGCATTTTTTCATGTGATTTTTTGCCATGTGTATATTTTATTTGGTAAAGTGTGTTTAAGTGCATTTCCCACTTTTAAAAATTGGACTGGCTGTTTTCTTTTATTGAGTTTTCAAGATGCAAGTTCTTTATCTGGTCTATGATTTGCAAATATTTCCTTGGTTTGAGGCTTGCTTTTCACAAGAGTGTTTTTATGAATGACACTTTTTTATTTTATTTTATTTTTTTATAAAAGACACTTTTTAATTTAGATGTTCTGTTTTTAATTTTGTGTTTTTGAGAAATCTTAACATGATCTAAAGTCAGAAAGATTTTCCCTTATATTTTCTTCTAAAAATTTTATGTTTTAGGTTTTCCATTTTAGTATATGCTCTAATTTGAGTTAGTATTTGTGTATATTTGAAGGAACAAATCAGAGTTTCCCCCAAATGCTCTAGTCAAAAAAAAATTTTTTTTTTAAATTTTCAATCTTCATCTGAGGATATGCTTTTTTATTTTAGAGAGGATGGGGGGGGGGGCTGGAGAGAGAAAGGCATCGATGTGAGAAAGAGCATTGGAGCATCGATTGGATGCCTTCCTTTTCTTGCCCTACCAGGGATCGAACCAGCTGCCTAGGGATGTGCCCAGCCTGGAGCCACGTGGTATACAGGATGGTGTTCCAACCAACTGAGCCACAGTGGCCAGGGAAATGTGCTTCAAGATTTAATCATAAATGCCCTTTGCCTTTACCTTGTTAAATGTGACGTTGCATTAATGGATTTTCGAATGTTAAACATCATTTCATTCTGGAGTAAAGCAAACATAGTCCTGGCATTTTATTTGAAATACCACTAAATATTACTTGTTTATATTTAACTTAGGATTATTGTCAGTATAAATTAATGTAAGCTACCTTTTTAAATTATTTTTTCTAATGAAATGACTTTGACTATAAATTTTTTAGTTTTTCTTTTCTATCTTCAAATTATATTACTATGGTGATAGCTTTTGGAAATGAATGAGGAGATGGTTCTCTTTTTTAAAACCAGGAATAGTTAAAAATATTAAGTGAACTTCCAAGATTAGCTAAATCCCACCAAAATTTCTGGGTCTGGTGCTTTTTTATAGTTTTGTTTTGTTTTGTTGTTGTTCATCTTATTTATTGCCATGCTACTGCATGAAATTTTGGGTTTATTCTTTCTCCTGATTTTGATTTCCAGTTCATCAATTTTAGGTTTTATCTTTAGTAATTAAAAAAAATATTTCTGTTTTGCCTACATTTGGTCTAGAGTCTCACTGTCTTTTTAAAATGTTAAAGAAATAGTCATAAAGCGCTAGATGGCAGTCTTGTCATTTCTTATGAGACTTTTAGAGCTTAATGACATTTGAAAAAAAGTAGTGTTGAAAAAAAAAAAAGAGAAAAGGTCAGTAGTTCTTGTAATAGTGTTAATGAAAACTTTCCTGATCTAAAAGATCAGGGTAAATTTAAAATGCAGGTCTACCCTGTGACATAGAGCAATTGAATAAAATATGGTGTTAACTTCATTGACAGTAATGCGCCAGCAGTTGTGTCCTGTAGACAGCTTTAGTAGTTTTTAAATGAGAGTTTAAAATAAAAAACTGAATGTATTAGACATTTGTCATGTCTCACATAGAAAAAAAAAGTTTTCTAGCAATAGTATCTAATTAATTCGACCCTTGTAAACATTTTATTATGCAGTTTATTCAGCAAATATAGAAAGTAGTCATCTGAAAGTAATGCAGCTTCTTTTATCCTAATGCTTTTTCCTGTTTTCACTACCGCTGTATTTAAACACCGGCTTTTGCTTAGTTGACGCTTGAGCACTGAGCAATGCATGAAACCTGAATCTAGGAAACTTCAGTAGCTGGGGAGGCATATCTTACTAATTTTCTTTTTGTTGAATTTATTGGGGTGACACTGGTTAACATTATACAAGTTTCAGGTGCACAATTCTGCAACACATCATCTGCACACTGTTCTGCGTGTTCACCACCCAAAGTCGAGTCTCCATCCGTCACCATTTATCCCCCCACCTTCCTCATAATTAAAATATTACTTGTAACCAAGAAAACCTTAAACACAAAGTGAGAGACTGGACTATGAAAAAGTTACATAGATGACATGTTTTCAATGATAAGAATCAAGTACAGAAAGTCACTTTCTGCCATCATCTACTCTGTGGCACTAATGCACTGATTCTCCAACTACATCTCATTTCCAACACCTATTAATTCTGCTTTAGTACATTTCCAAGTAATCAAACATATTTTGGCTTATTTCACCCTTTGAAAGCCTACTGTTGTTTTTAAAAATTTTTTTTTCTGTTAGGGTTTAGGATGCAATTTTGTGATGATAATATACTACCTTTTTAAGAGTAAGGAATTACTTTATCTACAAAGATCACCTCTATTACTCTTCATATCTTACTCTAGTTCATATTTATATAAAAACAAAATATTTTCCCATTTATGTCACTTACACCCTTTCATTATTACTGATTTACTTAATTTTTATGTCTTGAACTAAAATGCATTGTTTATAAGCATATTATTTATTGGATTTTTCTTTTCTATTTTTGATAAATGAGAGGTATTTTTTCAGTGCACGGATGATACTCTTAACTGACTGAGCTTCCCAGTCAGGGCCTCGATTCTTATTTATGTTAATCAGTATAAAAACATGCTATTTCTTCCAATTTAAAAACAAGATTCTTAATTTTATTTTCTTAATTTTTTGGCGCACCTCTCTTGAACACACTACTCCTTCTGCTACTTTTTCATTTTTCTGAGTTTATCGATAATACAACAAATTATTTGAGTTGATTTATACTCAGAATTCCTTTTTATACTGCAGTAATAAAGTGGCTCATTAAAGCAGCACAAAACTTATTCTGAAAATATGTATATTTGTATAAACTTGACATATTTTAAATTTTAATGTTTTATGTTCTGTACCCTATTTAGCTCAGAAGTACAGAGTAAATGCAAACAATAAAGTACATGTTTTAAGTGCCAGGTAATTAATTATTCATTTGTAATACCCTTAAAAATATATGAGCAGGACATTTCAATTGAGGGGAGAAATAGATCATCTCCCAGTTAAGTGAAAAATTGTGCACTTGGCCTCTGGAAGACTCTATTTCCAAGCAGCTTGAAAAGGAGGCATTCTGTGTAGAAGCCTGAACGTTCCTCAATTAATAATTCACATTCACCGAATGGTATTCATATTAGGCACTTGAACTGAGTGTTACTCCTACTGATTTTGTTCTTGGCCAGGCTTATTTTGTTTCAGCCCCGCTGACAGTAGGATCGCTCATTACTGTACATAATATATATTGTGCTCTTCTTGTACTTCCAACTTCATCAAATGGGAACAGAGAAATCAAGTAGGAAGCCTCCCCACGAATTTGGTGGTGCATACTAGTGCCCGGGGGAACAGCTCCAAACGGCAGAGGAGCGTCCGGAGGCCTGGGCCCCTGAGCTTTGCCCAGGGATGCTCAGGTGTTACCTGACCTTCTGAAGGGGGCTACTCCTGACTTCTCAGTGTTCACTTTCAAGCTAGAAAGCGTCAAGATAATAATGCGGACCTATTCTTGAAATGAGTTTCAAAGTGTTTAGTGTTTCCTAGTGGTGTTTTTCCTTCATCTGAGTAGATATTATTGAAGTCCTACTTCTGAGCCCCAGTAACTGCAGTTGACCGCTGATCACTGCTCTCTTTTTGTAGCCTTGCATTGGCTCGCCCCCATGCCACCAAACACTGGCTTCCTTCCTCTCTGTCTGCTCTCAGCTCCTCCGGGGTTCCTCTGAGGTTTCATTAGTTCCCATTGGGTGTCTCAGGACTCATTCCTCGCACCTCTTCTCTACACCTGGCAATTTCTCAGCTCCAGAGCCTTAAGTCCCATCCAAAACGCTACAACCTGGTACCCAGTAAACATGCTCTGGAACTCTATTCAACCTGTCACTTGCATTTTCAATAACTAAGAAATATGCTCCTAATTATCCCCCAATTCCCACCAAATAAAACCCAGGTTCCTTACCCATCTTAGCAAATGTGGATGTTATGCTTGGTCTTGGGTAAAAAAAAATTTTATTTTTTTTATCTTTCAAATGCTCCATCATGTATTTATTCAGCTAATCCTGTATGCTGTAGCTCCCACATACATTCCTATGTCTGACCTCTTTTCATGACCTCCACTGCTGCCATCCTCGCCTCGTCACCTCTTGCCTATACTCTTGCCACAGCCTCTTGAAAAGAATCCTCGTTAAGGCTTTTTTGAGGTTTATCTACTTGTTTCCTCTGCTTGGATTACAGTTTCTCTACTACACTCCTCGGTTTATTCTCTTACGATCTTTGATTTTCAAATGTTCCTTCTCCACATTGCAAGCATATTTCTACCCTGACAACGATTTCTGTCCTTTTCACTGATTTGTTATCATCCAAAACATATATCATTATCTGCTACATATTTAAATTATTTAATTACTTTTTAATGTCCATCCAATAGAATATAAGTTGCATGAGGACAGAACGTGTGTCTTTTATTGTATCTCCAGTGCCTAGAACAACACTGGCCCTTGACTTACCTCTACATTTTATTTTGATTGGGCACAGCATGAAAGGTATGCATCCAAAAATAGGAGTCATCTTTATTTAAAATAATGTGAAATACCATTTTACAGAGGCCAGAGTTACACTGTGAGTAATGCTTTACCCTGTGTAACATGTGAAACTACACATGACATATAACATTCGACTGTTTGACTTTGGTCTCAGCATTATCCATGGGCTCAATTAAAATTGTGTGTCCCTGTATTGTTTTTTTTTTTTTTATCAGTTGCTAATGAGAGCCATTTCTGTAGAATAATATCTTCCAGAGAGTGATTTGATAATTGCTAAAATTACCACAATAATAAAAGAATAAGTAAACTCATTACAGCATGTGATGAACTATTAGTTAGCTATTAAAATTCATGTTTTCAAATAATTTTGAATTTTATCAAAGATAACAAAATGTTTGTCTATGATTATATTTACAAAATTTTAACTGGAATAACATGCACCAAAATGTTTTTAATATTCTTACTTTTATGTAGTTTTTAAAAGGCCTACAGTTTTGGAGAATATTTATGATGACAACAGAAATAATAAATGGGATTTGTAAAGAATTAGGATTTCTTCCATATCTTCTTGTTGCTCAATGACAGTGATTTAGAATTTGCTAATCTTACATAGGCCACTAACAATTAATGATAATCATTTTCAATACTGATATATAATATGATTTCACCTTGTTTATCAAGCAATTTTTAAAATTCCACATCAGGATTGTGTTCTTTTCCCCACAGACAGTCTTCTGATCGACTACCAGTTTACCTTCAGCCTCCTGCAGGAGGACGACCGCCACCACACTGCCATCAACTTCATAGCAAACCCAGAACAGGTGAGAAGACAACTTAGCTTTTATAAAACAATTATGTGCATAGGAAGGGATACAAGTGTTTTGTCTTCTTTGATTGCAATTTTACTGCTTAGAATAATCACACTTGGGGAGTTTTGTAGCAAGATTAATCTTGTTAAAAAAATGTTTTTTTAAATAAAACTTAGGCCCCCTCGCTGGTGTTGCTCAGTGGATAGAGCATTGGCCTGCAGACCAAAGGGTCCTGGGTTTGATTCCAGTCAAGGGCACATACCCTGTTAACAGGCTCCTTCCAGGCCCCGGCCTTGGTTAGGGCTTGTGCAGGAGGCAACTAATCCACATGTTTCTCTCACATGGATGTTTCTTTCTGTCTTTCCCTCTCTCTTCCACGCTCCTTAAAAATCAATGGAAAAATATCCTCAGGTGAGGATTAACAAAAAATAAAAACTTAGGTTTCCTTGTGATTCAGAGTATTTGTGAGGTAGATATTTCAGATATTGTTAAAAGAGTTCTACAATTTAAATTATATATTCTATATTTTTAGGGGGCTTGTGATAGTGTTTATGTTTATAATTTTGCTCTCAAACTGGGAGTAATCTTATTTGAAAATAGAACCTTTATATTCAAAACATGCTATATCAAATATATATTTTTTAGTTTTATACATTTACATAGTAGTAAATTTTCAATGTCTTTTTTTTTTCCTTTTCTAAATCTACTGGGTTATCTGAGATATAGGAATGCTGGCTTGTTTTTTCTTAATCATTTTCATTGAAATATAATTGACATATTACATTGTGTAAGCTTAAATTGGACAACATGTTGATTTTATATATTTATATATGACAGTGTGATTATTACCATTGCATATAGCTAACACCTCTGTGGTGTCGCATAATTATCATTTATTCTTTATGGTGGGGATAATTAAGAGCTAGCCTCTCAGCAGTTTGGGAGTTTATAATACAATATTGTTGTCCATGACCACTGTGTTGTGCATTAGATCTCTGGGATTTATTTGTCTACTGGTTGGAAGTTTATACCCTTAAACATCCATCCAGTTCCCCACCTCGTGATGCCTAGAAACCACCATTCTACTCTGTTGTTTTCGACTAGAGGCCTGGGGGGTTATTTGGCCTGGCCTGCAAGATCGGGCCGAAACTGGCTCTCCGACAACCCCCAAGGAGTCCTGGACTAAGAAAGGGAGCAGGACAGGCCAAGGGACTCCACTGTTGCACGATTTGGGCCAGTGAGGGACGTGGAGGGTTGGCCAGCCAGGGAGGGACCATGGGAGGGCTCCTGGGCATGATTGGCCCATCTCGCTCAGTCCTGATCTGCTGGACTCCCAAAGCAAGCTAATTGCTCTTCTTACCATTATAATGGGACAATGCTTGGTTTGTATTCATCTTTGTTACTGCAACTTCTTAGCTGGATTTTGGTCCTCTAGTAAAGGTATTTTGGTCCATATGTCATTGTTAAATTGGTGTTTTTCTGGGGACGAGGGCCTGGACTTCTTATTCTGCCATCTTGCCGATGTTACCCTCTGTCTCATGTATGTTCTTATTATATATATATCCATCTGATTAAATCCATATCTTGTGTTCTAATAGTTTTTCAAATTTTTTTTAAATTGATGGAACCTCAAAATACTTCCTGTCATTTGTTTGCTAGTTTCTTTCCTTTAAGATAGCGTATAGGATTTGTCAGCAAAAAATATAATTTCTTAAATTTTTCTTTTCTAGTGAAATAGAATCTATCCTTCCAAAAAAGTACAATAATTCACTTTATGTAACTCTTTATTCTTTAGATTTTAAGGAATGCCTATATTCTTGGAAACATATTTACAGTTTTGACTTTTAAATAAGGATTTTTGAAGTTGATTTTTCCAAATGTAATCCTATCTTCAGTTTTGTTTTAAAGACATTAATAATATGTCATATGCTATATTTATCAGTCCTATAAGAAAGTTTTTATATTGTTATAATCACCATGAACTTCTTTTCTGTTGTGATAATATACGCATAAAGTAAAATTTATCGTCCCAACCAGTTTTAAATGTAAAATGTGGTGGCATTAAGTTCATTTACAGTGTTGTGCAAACATCACCGATATCCATCGCCAACATTTTTCATCATTTCAAACATAATCTCTTTATCCAGTAAGCAATAACTCAACATCCCTTCCTCCCTCCAGCCCTTGGTAACCTTTATTTCACTTTCTGTCTCTATGAATTTGTGTATTCTAGGTATATATGTGTAATCATACAATATTTGTCTTTTTGTGTCTGACTTATTTCACTTAGTATAATGTTTACAAAGTTGATCCATGTTTCAGCACGTATGAGAATTTCATTCTTTACCGTTGACTTCTTGAATATTTAAAGTAATTCCAAAGTTGTAGAGATCTTTGGTAATATAAAAAATATAATGTAGCCCACTTGGTGTGGCTTAGTAGTTGAGCATTGACCTATGAACCAGGAGGTCCTGCTTTGATTCTTGGCTGAGGCACATGCCTGGGTTGTGGGCTTGACCTCCAGTGGCAGGGATAAGGGGAGGAGCATGCAGGAGGCAATCGATTAATGATTCTCTCTCATTGTGGATGTTTCTCTCTCTCCCTTACTCTCTGAGATCAATAAATATATTAGAAAACGTTTAATATAAGTTGGGCATCTAGCTCAAAATGTAGGCGTAATAATCCTCTTCAGTATTACGCATATTGTCATACACAGAAGTTCAGATTAGCTGTCATCCTACTTTACTTCTCTCTTAACATGCTCTCCTCCTGCAATTTCCAGCAATTCTTGAGTGCTTCCAAATGGCCCAGCTCTCAGTTTTACTTTCTACTATCTTGTCCACTTGAATCCAATAGCCCAGATACATGTTATTTGAAAGGATGCTAAATTATCATGAGAGGTGCCACCAGGATGCTTATAACATTATCTAATAAAAGAGTAACACACTAATTGATCATACCTTCTCGATGCCCATCAGCCAATCAAGAGTGAATATGCAGATTTACCCAACAAAGATGGGTTAATTTGCATACACAGGCACTGAGCTGCTGGGGGCAGGGTGGGATGCTTGCATTTGTCGCCATGGCGTTCTGCACCACCCCAGCTATTCAGAGACTCTGGACAGTGTGGGAAGGTAAAAAGGCGGCTCTGGCTATAGCGAAGGCATTGCTGGCAGCCAGGGGAAGGAAGGCCCATTTTTGCACGAATCTTTGTGCATAGGGTCTCTAGTTATATATACTTTATAATTATCATCTAGAGTAGGGGTATCGAACTCAATCAGAGAAGGGGCCAAAATCTAAAATCCAGCCTAAATCACGGGCTGAATGATTTACTGAACAGTCATAAACTGTCATTGTGATGGAAACGCAGCGGAGTGCAGTGATGACAGCGCGGTGCAGGCCACATTGCAAGGCCTGGCGGGACGGATTTGGCCTGCGGGCCTTGTGTTTGACACATGTGATCTAGAGTTAAAGAGTTATCCAACTTGGAACAATTTCTGAAATTAATGTGAATGATTGAGCAGGGCTTCCTATTTATCCTTCAAAAATCACCAATGAAAATACATACCTTAATTACTTACGCATTTTGTACATTTATATAATAGGTTTATTTGTAACCCACTATATCACTTCTTTATATATAAAAAAATCTTTATTGTTTAAAGTATTACATAAGTCTCCTTTCCCCCTCATTCACCTCTCCCCAGCAGCCCTTTCCCCCAGTTCATGCCCTCAGCCCCTTACTGCCTGTGTCCATTGGTTATGCTCATATGCATGCATACAAGTCCTTTGGTGATTTCTTACCCCCTCATTCCCTGCTTTCCCTCATAGGTTAGACAGTCTGCTTGATGCTTCTATGATTCCGGTTCTACTTTTGTTCATCAGTTTATGTTGTTCATTATATTCCACACATGAGTGAGACCATGTGATATTTATCTTTCTCTGGCTTATTTTGCTTAGCATAATGCTCTCCAGTTTCATCCATGATGTTGCAAATGGTGAGAATTCCTTCTTTTCTTACAGCATCGAAGAAAAGACATTTATGTCATCAGCCCTAAAAATATCAACAATACTACCATTTTCAGTTTTATGTCTGGAAACTAGGCTGTTTTTTTGAGAATTTCTCTTATTTGATGTTTATAAGAAACTTTGCAAAAAGGTTGTCCTATCTCCATTTTAGAGATAAGAAAACTGATTTTTCAGGAAGGACAAGTAGCTTTTCCTAAATAAATCTATAAGCATGTTAAAGAGCTAAGATTTGAACCCAAGATCATCTGATTTGATAATGTTACTGTTCATGAATTAATTTCATTGCCTCATGAACATCATTTAATGACTAGAAGCAGTACTTGTTTTTCAGGACTGATCAGTTAATTATAGTGACATAAATCTATAAAATTGGTACCAGAGATTTTTCCTCTCTTCATTTATGGGTTTTCGTTAATGTAATGCTATGTTGGAATGGATGTTCCTTATCACAGCTGAACAACATAATGTGTTGATCAGCCCTGTCTGCGTTCTGACATAAAGCGTTTTGCATTTATTACTATTGTCATAGTAGTGGCATTATTTTGAATTATTCAACTTTGTGAATCAAAGAAGTAGCAAGGTTTCAAGAAGTTGGACAGTTTTGTTGTACATATTGTGGAAGGTATCTTAATCGCTTATCAATAGAACTTAATGAGTTAACTTCCTTCTTACATTCATAGCCATATTTTTTAGCATGACTGGTGGATAATGCATTATCCTTCTGAAATATTATATCTACTTAAACTCCCAGGCTCTATTTTTCTTAGTTTTATTTGAATTTTCAGATGCTATTTCTACAGCATTCATGAGCACTTCCGTGGAAAATCTGTATTGCCGTCATTCAACCTCATTACATTTACTTTTGCATGCTCTTTGGAGATGACCATTCATTTTGGATCTATATTTTCTTCCTGGAAACTACGAAGAGAATGTCCTCTAATAGTTATGGAACATTAATAATAGTTTTTCGTAGAGGCCCAGCTATCCCTCTATCTTATGGCATTCACTAAAAGTAAATGGTACTTTGAGGTAAATAAGATTTGATCTAAGTGTATCTTTTAAATGGGATGACTGCTACACATCGTCTAGCAGCTTTTGCCTTTTATTGCTCCCCTTTTCTACTCTTATCCATCAAGAAAGGGCTGCGAATTTCCGCCAGTTTCCCCTTATAGCTGTTACATCACATATGGGGAGCTTAAATTGCTTACACATTTGCTTCTCTAGGAGTCGCTCAGAAAATTGGAGATATTTTCTATTGGCTTACCTGTTTTATTCAATTTAGAAAAAAAAGTAGTCATACTAAGGAAGGAAGTTACATATTTTCTATTAGCCAGGTCTCAGGTAACATTGCAGCCTTTTAAAAAATATATTTTTTATTGATTTCAGAGACGAAGGGAGAGGGAGAGATAAAAATATCAATGATGAGAGAGAATCATTGATCATCTGCCTTTTGCATGCCCCACACTGGGGATTGAGCTGGCAGTATGTCCAAGTGCCCTTGACCTGAATCAAACCCAGGACCCTTCAGTCCACAGGCCGTTGTTCTCTCAACTGAGCCAAACTGGCTAAGGCAGCAGAACAGCTTTTTGTATAGGTCTTTGTATATTAAAAACTCACAATATCTGAAGCTAAACTTATGCAGTACCACTATCATCCTCAGCATTTATGCAGAACTAAATAGTTATAATCCTATGCACTTCCTGTGCCTCATCTCTTGCAGTAAGATAAATAACATTTAGAGAAATCCTTTTGACATTTGTTTCATCGAAATTAAATGCAAAGGGTCTATACTCCACTAGTGAATGACAGGAAGAAAACAGTTTGACTGACAAATTCTTAAGTGTTCTTCTGTACAGATGTTTAAAATGATGTGATCTCCTCTTTTTTGCTCATTTTGGTTCATCATTTTTACCTGAAAGTTTTCATTTGTGTAGTTGAAGCATTTTGAACTGGTTAAAGTCTGTATAACATACACCCATCAAGAAGCCTTTCAACAAAATAGTATTATATTGCTGTAGAAGTTTTGGGCTAGTCTAATCCTATATCGTTTAAATATTAACTACAGAGAAGCAAAGAAAATTAAAGTACCAATATTGAATGGCAGCAGCCTCTGGCTTACATACAGAAGGCCTGATTTCAGTAGAGAGGATAAATGGGAACCTTCAATCTACCTTTGACTCTGTCATCTAAAGAGTTGTAATTGGTATCTACAGTAACTCAGTTGAATGTTGTTGTAATTGTAGAATTTGAAAAATATAGCAAGGACATAATTAAACATTGAACATATCTAGCTACTATAATTTGATTTTTTTTAACCTTAATATTTTCTTTTTTGGTAGTCTAACAAAAACCTGGATATTTCCATTAATGCCTCAAACAACTTTAATCTCAACATTACTTGGTCAGTTGGTTCAACAGGTAAGAGAATTTTGTTGCCATGTATCGTTCACATCTGTTTCAGTGTGGAAGGTGTTCTGACATGACCTTTTACTATTAATTTAAATAATTGAAATGAAAATAATATTACATGCCCAATCACTGTGCTGTTTCAAGTAAAAATAATAAGTAGCATTAATAATAAATTTTAATTATTTGCTAACATTCTCCCTTATTCAATTAAAATTAGACAGGGAGCAAATATAATTCATGACTTAATTTTTTTAAATGGCACTGTCATGAATTGCTATGATTTTAATTAAGGCATATCACTTTTTTTAATTACTAAAGAGACAGATTTCAATTATTTGATTCACTATTGAAACTTGAAATTTAATTATTAACCTTATGTTGATATAAAACACTGACATTCTTCTGTGAATGCTGACGAATTAACAACTTATCTATTACTTTCAAAGTTAGAAAACTATCCCCCAATCCTTGTCAGCTTTGGTGCTGAACGAGGGTTAAAAACAAAACTTACACTTAATGTCTTCCATCACAAACTTGATAAATTAAATTGCTGACTTTTAAGAAATATAACTAAGTACAAATCTAGATTTAGATTATGAAAAAGAATGCTAACTTTTTAATATATATCTTAGGAAATTCTGTTGCATTTTACTTTCTATATCAAAGATATACTGTTGCATAAAAGCACTGGAAACTTTTTTCAAAAGAAAATACTGCCTATTTTCTGAAAATTAAGTCATTATGCTATTTTAATATGCAAGGTCATGGAAACATAGAATTCAAGAGTGATCAGATCTTTGGCATTCCAGAATCTGTAATATACATGTAAAAAATGAGAAATTAAGGCAAACATATAGACATTTTGTTAGATTAGTAAAAACATATAGTAAAATCTTGACACCATGAGTTTCATTAATTAATAATTTACGAATTATACTGTTAATTTGAACTTTACTTCTGTATTGTAAAGTAGTTCAAAATATATTTAATTTTGTCAATAATAGAACAATGATTTTATTATGTAATAAGTTACTTGTCACTTTCAGATTCCCAGAACCATTTTTATTTATCAGTTTGGAAGATGGAACTCAAGAAAATCTACATTTTTAAAAAAGATTTTTAAATTAATTTTTTAAAGAGAGTGGAAGGGAAAGGGAGAGAGAGAAACATCAATGTGAGAGCAAAACACCAGTGATTGAGCCCAAAACCTGGGCATGTGCCCTGACCTGGAACCAGCAACCTTTCCGTGCATGGGAGGATGCCCAACCACTGAACCACACCGGGTGTGAAAATTCTACAGTTTTAAAAGCATCCAGGACAATTTGGAATAATGATAAGTCAGAAATATTCAGGTGTTCAGCATATTAATTGTAATTATTTTTACTTTTAGTGAAGTCGAGGGCTTGATAAGATCATTGGAAATGCTTTATTTTACCCGTGGCCTGTGTGGCTCAGTGAGTCAGAGCGTCATCCTGTGCACTGAAGGGTCAGGAGTCCGATTCCTGGTCTCATTCCCAGATTGTGGGCTCCATCCCTGACGGGGTGCTGATGGGAGGCAACCAATCGACGTTTGTCGTGTCTCTCTCTCACATCGATGTTTCTTTCTCTCTCCCTCTCTTCCTTCCCTCCTCTGTATCTCTCTAGAATCAATGAAAAACATATCCTCAGGTGAAGATTTAAAAAAATGCTTCATTTCATTTGATTAATTTTAGTAAACATTTATTGAATACCAAATATTTATTTAACTGATGGAGCTTTTAGCTCATATTTTGAATTATAGCCTTCTTCCAGTTTACTCACATTAGTGATGTTTCACTTTGTGGTAAAACAAATACATTGATTTCCCCCTTCTTTTTTAATTTAATTGAGACTTGTGAAATATGGCCTAATTTATTTTGAAATCGTTTGTGGAGTAGTAAGTAGAAAGAACTCAGTGTCATGAGCCATGTATATCTGAGTTTCAAAGAGGGGCTTACCTTTCAGTAGTTGAGTACTTGAGACAAGTGTCTAGTGCATAGTACCTAGTCAGTGGTGTAATTTTTAAAAGTGTGTTTTATTATATTTATGGAAAATATTTTTTTTTCTTTTGTCACTCTAAATTGTAAACATGAGTTTATTTTGATAAATATGTTCTTATAAGTACAGTTATAAAAAGAAGTACAACACACATTTTTTTATAAAGGTCTGTTTCCTAATATGAATTATTAAATTTGTTATTGTTATTTATATTTTAGCTGGAACAATATCTGGGGAGGAGACCCCTATAGTTTCCAAGACTAACGTGAAGGAATACAGAGATAGTTTTTCCTATGAAAAATTTAACTTCAGAAGCAATCCTAACATTACCTTCTATGTGTACGTCAGCAACTTTTCCTGGCCTATTAAGATACAGGTGAGTGTTAAAAAAGTATTCAGTCTAGTGACTATTGAGTATTTTCATGAGAAAAAGAATGGTTTCTTTCCAATTGATGCTATAGATGGATTTCTATGTTTTGAACAACATAAGAAAAAGGTTACACAAATATTTGTGATTAATATTTCTATAAAAAGTCCATAAAATAATACTCAATAAAAGAATGTACTAATTTTTAATGAAATGGCATTCTAAAAAAGCATTAAGCTGGAAATAATGAGATTCTTTAGGTTTTCTGATTAATTGTATAATTCGAGGTTTAAATAAACGTTCTTTTCTTACGATCCCACTTGAAATTATTTGCTGTGTTTAGTAACCTAATTTTACCTTTATTATACACTGAACATAATTTAAATCTTCACTGAAAATTAAGCATTAGCAGAACTTAACAGTTAGTTCTTTCAGATCCACTGCCTCTTATTGTTGATACCTTTATCTCTGCTATTGTGTCGTATGGTTCATTTTTATTGAGCTCAGCAATAGGCTACAGCTTTAGAATTGTTGCTAGGAAATATTTAGGATGCTTTATCTTGAAATGTTCATGATTTGAATTCCTAATTTATGCTTTTATGATAGTACAGTAAGTCTATACGTTGTAATGTTGGGATTTGTTCATTTATTCATTCTTTTATGACTGATTTGACTTGATTGAATTGAAATTAGTTTGTTGAATAGCTCATATATGCCAAGTCCTGCACTAGGTCTGTTTCAAAATCTTTTAAAAATTTGAAGATTATTCCTTCTTTTTTATTAATAAATGACAACTTATGATCTGTGACTACAGATGTCTGCATGTTTTATTTTTATAAATTTGTGTTTTGTGAGAGAACTGCGTAATTTTTAAAAATCATGTTTCCTGGAAAAATCTTTCTCCTTATATTATGATTGAAGGCAACAAAAGGCCTCATCTATAGGGCTTATTAAATAGTAACTGAAACAAATGTAATTGTTAATGTTTTTAATTGTTTCATGCCTTTTATTTCTTGGTTATCTAATTGTATTTTATTTTTAAGAACATTACATAGTTACTTTAGAATGCTTATGAATATTTAATAATTAGAAATTAACTTTCTAAATTGGAGTTTCTTTTGAGAACATACTAACAATATCTTCTGGATGCCAAACTAAAATAAAGTTGAAATATTCCACTCTCTCAGAAAAATAGAGAGTGGAAAACAACTATGATGGTCAAGAAAGGTAGAGTTTTATTTCTACCTTTTTATTATAATGATTATGTTAGTCATGAGGAATATGTTTTACTAAGGTATAAGAGTATCTGTGTTTGTTTATAGGACTATAATACACTTTCAATTATTAATAAAAATAGTAAAATTATTTCATTTGAGATTTATTTTTAATATTATTGAATTATATCAATTAATTTTGAATGTTTAGCCAATCTTGCTATTCAGGTGTAATTTCTACCTCATCATTTTGCATTATTTTTTTTGTATTATTGTATTATTGTATTTGATTTGTTATATTTTTGTTAAGGACTTTTATACCCAGGTTATTGAGGAATACTAGTGTGTATTTTTCTATTGTAATCTTGTTGGTGTTATGGTACTGCTGGCCTTACCAAATGAATTGGGCAGTAGTCCTTCCTCTAATTTTCTGAAAGAATTATGGTAGAATCAATAGTATTTTTCTATAAATTTTCTTAAATTATTTTAGTGGTTATTTTATGGTTTATCATAGACATCTTAAATTTCTCATTGTCTGCCTTCAAGTAATATTATGTCACTCATTTCTTGAATGTTAATATTAAGACATTCTCTTTTCTTCCTTCTGGTCTTAGTGCCATTATTAAGTTAATTTTACTACTTCATATATTATAAATATAGAATCCATACGACACTTACTATTTTTAATATAGTCAACTTTACTTAAAGACATGACACATAAGAAATCATCTTCTATTTTACCTATACATAGTTACTCTTTTAGTAAATCTAGATTTCTATCAAGTATTATTTTTTTACTGCCTAATGGAAATCTTTTAACAAGTTAGGGCAGATCTGCTGGCAATGACTTATATCAGCCTATATTTCTGAAAATGTCTTTATTCTTCTTTCATGGGGATTAAATAATTATAAATTGTAGCTTTTTAATGTAATGGGTCTTTTTCCTCTTTCTGCATCAAAAACTTTTATTCTCTTCATTATTGGTTTTGGTCAATATGATTATGATGTGTGTAGGTTTGGTTTTCTTCATATTTTTTTCTTTTGTGCGGGTTTTATTGAACTTCATAAATTCATAAAATTATAATTTCAACCATATTTGGAAAGCTTGGGGCTATTATGTCTCAAAATTTTATCCCATTCCTCTCTTCTTTAGAAATTCCAACTGTATGTATATTAGATGGCTTGAATATGTTCTTGGCTTACTAATGCTCTATTCTTATTTTTTAATTCATGATTTTTTCTGGATTTCATTTTGCTTAGTTTTTATATATCTTCAAGTTCAATAAGCTTTTCTTTTATAGTGATTAATCTGATATTAGTCCCAGGCTGTGTATTTTTCAACTCAAACTTTATATTTTTTATTTCTAGAATTTTGACTAGTTTTTTAAAAAATATCTTCTACATTTCTACTTAATATGTTCCATCTTTTTTTCTGCCTTTTTAAACATATAGATTAAAGTTACCATACTATTAACATCCTAATCTATAAATTGTCATTTGTGTAGTTTTGCATTTCTTTCTATTTTATTTTGCCCCTCCTTATGGCTCATATTTTTATTAGATGCCCAGTATTCTGAATTTAACCATTTTGGGTGCTAGATATTCACCAATATTGATGTTTTAGCTTGGTTATGGGATGGAGTTAATTTATTTGCAAAATTTTTAAACTTTCCAAGGCTTATTTCTATGCTTTGTTATTTCTATGCATTTAGTCTAGGGTTGATCAGCTCACTCCTAGGCACTGCCTTCTTGCTGCTCTACTCTATGACACTATGAATTACAAGTTTTCACTCAGACTGGTAGGATCATAAACAGCTCCCAACTTCCTGTGCTTTTGAGAATTTTTCTCTCTGCTCCTTTCAGATTATTGTTTCCCCAGCCTCGGACAGTTCCTTCACCAGTAAGTAGTCTTCACCTGAAGGCTCAAGGGGCCAGGAGCAAAGCTCTGAGCACTCTGGGAGTTCTCTCTTCTCCAGTAGTCCATCCCTAAACTTCACTGCCCCACCCCACCACATTCTCAGCTTCTTCTCTTCAAATTGGAAGTTCCTGAAATGCACTTGGGCTTACTGTCCTTTTGATGCAGCCTTAAAATCACAATGATCGCCCCTGGTTCAGAGGTTGAGCGTTGACCTTTGAACCAGGAAGTCATGGTTCTATTCCTGGTCAGGACACATGCCTGGATTGCAGGCTCAATCCCCCATGTGGGCATACAGGAGGCAGCCAATCGATGATTCTCTCTCATCATTGATGTTTCTCTCTTTCTCTCCCTTCCTCTCTGAAATCAATAAAAATATTTATTAAAAAACAAACACCACAATGATCTGTGGCATTTAAAGGCTCACCTCATTTGTTTCCCCTCAGGAATGATTGTCCTGCACTGCTTGATTTCCAGTGTCTGAAAACAAGTGTTTCAGATATTTTCTCTTATTTATTAATTGTTTAAATATGAAGATAAATCCATTCACTGTTACTCCATGTTGTGAGGAGATAAAATTCTTACATAATGTTGAGTCCAAATAGTAAATGGAACAAACATGGTAGCCACAAGCTAGTTCATCAATTAAAGGGACAGTTACTGTAAATGTGGTTTTATGTTTACTTCCAAATTGTTTTATTTAGTAGTTTAGATTTATGTTTCCAGGTACTTTTCAGATAAATAGTAGTTAGGTTGCAGATATATTTCTATGTATTTTAGATTTCATAATGACATTCTATTGCAGATTCCAACGAGCTGCAACTTATGTGAAATCTTAAAATCTATAGATGAAAATTCTCATAAATATTTAGGGACTACACCATGTGAAAGCAGTTATCTTAAAAAGTGGCTGAAATAAAAAAGTAAAAAAACTTAATTCCTATTGAAAAATTTCCATACACCATTGAGATACCACGAATACTCTGTTCAAGAATAAATACCACTGCTCCTCCTTCCAGAGTTCTCAGTGAGTTTCCTACAAGTGAGAACATTGTTTGTGATAAAGATTAACATTTAAATTTTATGACCATTTTTACTTAATTTATTTTAATCTTGGCTTCAGTGGAGTCGTTGCACAGGGAGAGACCGTTATGTGTATAGCCTTTCAACTTGTAATTGAATTCTTTTTAAAATATGCAGTAGCATAAAATGTGTGAACATTTAAGTATTTAGTTATTTGTTGTTTATGTAAAACATCTTTGTATCATATCCTTTTTGTAAGCAAAACATTATACACAGATTTTACTTCAGTTAATATCAGTAGTATTTTTATACTATTCTTTTGAGCACCTTTGATTGTAGTGTTTCTCTGTATTCTTGAGACTGAAGAGATCAATTTAAAAAATATCCATGAATAAGGGGAAGTTTTTGCTGATATATGAGAAAGCAGAAAAGTATTTCATTTGTCTTGATCCAATTTCAGTCTAATGTGACTGTTGAGATGAAACATTCTAGCATAATAATAGGTCTTTGTAAATTTCTACAAATAATGAGCGAAATGAAAAATTATAGTAATGGTATCTTCTGTATTTCATCAGTCAAATGCTAATCTAAACTAGTGCTTCTTGCAGAAATGTCAGAAATTGAACATTTATATACATTTTTGGCTGCACTTTCAAGCAGACACAAAGCTTCAAGCTTACACAGGTCATTTTTCTAGAGGATAAAACGGTACACAAAGTCGCCTTCGTCCTCACGTAAGCTCGAGAATTGTACTGTCAGCAGTTTTTCCTTTGTAGGTAAAGAAATTCAACTTTAAATGAGCTTTAAAGTAAAACAAGGGACATTGCAGGTTTAGAAATCAGAGAGAGAGAAAATGT